TTAATGGTGGCCTTCCCCTTAACACACGCCCTAGAATTCTGAAAATCTGTGAGTATTATATTGGATAGCCTGAGTTTGGCTCGAAGGCCACTGCTGTTGCAAATCCTTTTGAATGTGTTAATGGAAATAATGGAGAGAGCGGACCCAGTGTCCAACTCCACGGATAAAGGAACCCCTTGCTTTAAGGAACAGTTTCTTCTTTAGGGGTTTATGTGTGTCTGTCCTCAAAATACTCCTGCGCAATGCGCAGAAACCCACCTTATGTTGGATGGGGACCCTGGTACCTTTCAGATGCAATTCTTCACGAGGTTGGACCTTTTGGTGACCCAAACAGATGGATGCAATGTGGCCTTGCCTGCCACACACTCTGCAAATGGCGGAGCAGAACCTGCAGTCAGCTCGCTTGTGGCGTCCTCCACACCTGAAGCATTGAAGAGCTGCTGGGGCCTTGTCTGGACATTCCTTCTGCCTCCTTTCAGCTGTCTGGTAAAGCCTATCCACCTCTTCTTCAGGATCTGCTTCCAAACCTTCTTGAGCATCCTCTTGGTGGATGGTAGCTGCCTCTGGAGGGCTCCTGGTGGGCCGCAAAGTCTTTACTGCCCCGCCTGCTGCTTCCTCAGCTGTCACCTCTCGTAGAGCATCTTGGAAAGAGACATCTTCTTTTGAAAAAATCTTCTGCTGTAAGTCTCTGTTCCTTAAACCGCATACAAAGCAATCTCGCAGCCTCTCTTCCAGATCCTTGAACTCACATGGTCTGGCTGTTCGCCTTAAGGCTGAAATAAAATCCTTAGCAGATTCACCTGCCCTCTGGTCCCTTTGCTCAAATGTGTGCCTCCATGCAATGACAGACAACTTGGGCTGGAAATGTTCCTTCAGCAGTTTCTTCAAGTCAGTATACGTTACTGACTCCAGAAGTGCAGGGGCCACCAGGTTCTCTGCAATTTCAAAAGCTTCCTGTCCACAGACACACAACAGGGTTGCAGCCTTCAAGCCATCTTCTCTAATCTGGTTTACCCTGAAGTAATTCTCCACCCTTGCAACATAGGATTCCCATCTCTCTGGGTGTGAGACATCAAATTCGGATAAACAACCAATCTTCGCCATCCTGTAGTTTACAACTTTCACCACTCGCTCCTCTGTAACTTCTATTGTGGAAAGGGTCTTTCAGCCGAGCTCATCCTCCAGCGACGCTATACTGGCAGGCTGGGACGCTGATTCCAATGCTGTCTTCCCCTCTTCAGGACTTCTTGGGTAAGTCTTTAAAGCTTTTCTTTCTTCAGCTTGTAAATCATCCCACCTTCATCTCCAGTGTTAAGTCCTTTGATCGTGGGCGAATGATGAAGACTCATTGTGCAGTTAACAGCTCTTTAGTCATTTAACAGCAACATCCAACAACGCAAATGGCATGCAGGCCTCTCTTTATCTGCCCAGAGACCCGGACACAATGGCAAAAATTATTGGAGCGTTTTCGCACCCTGCACATGTGTGCAAGGCTGGCACCACTCAGTCTGGTCCCAGGCAGCTTTTGGAATGCCCGGGATCAATGCAATGTCCCAAGCCTACTTTTGCAGGCTTAGGACACAACATTAAGATTGTGCCATTTTTGCCCATTTTGCTCAGAATAGAGGTACCTATTCTACTGATGATTCTTTTTGTCTGTATGCCGATGCACCGTTTAAGACGAGTCAGTTAACCATAAGTGCATCATTTATTTCCATCACTATATCATATGAAAAAATGGAGATTGATGGATCAAACATGGTCATTCAAATAGCGACAAATGATTATAGAAAGTTTTCATAACAAAAAAACAGCTCTACAGACCTGCAAGTGCTGCAAAAATGACAAATCACAGTAATACCCTGTGTGCTTGTTCAATCTCTTTTTCTGCTAAGTTCTTTAATGCTAGATTTATCATTTATTTTTCATTTCATGGGTTTCTCTTCAATGAATGCAAGAAATGACCTCTTATTCTTACCAAACACTGTCATGCTTGAACATTTACATGACAATAAACACATCTTTATAGGTCCACACTTCCTTTACATGGTCTCTACAAATGTTGAGTCATGGTTCTGAATATAACCTGTAGAAATCTTAAAACGCATTTATCTCCCCAACAAAATTTGCTTTCCGCTTGCTAGCAGAGGGATCAAACTAAGTCATCGCTCAATACCCTTGAGGTTACTGCAATACTTCAGAATAATCAGGATTCTCATTACTCAGTGTTATATCCCCAAAAACTGGACATACAACAATTTGAATAGGAGGACTCCTATTTGACATTTTGAAGTTAGACTTTAGAGTACCAAAGAATTTCAGCCAAGGTTTAATTTAGATTGCAATCATATATATAAGTGAGAGAAAGTCCCATTTAATTTTATTTACGCAGAGAACCAGGCTCCATGTTTAATAAGGATAGATTTTCATCCATATGTATTTATAAATAAACATTACTGAAAATAACATATGGCTGAGCATATAGGATTGTGCTCTAAATACAAATCCACAGATTAGTTTAATTCTGATATATGTCAGATTCATTTGTGAAGCTGTTTTCGTTTAACTTCTCAACTGTGTACATTTTTTTAAAGCAAAAAAAAAATTTATCCTAATGTTTGCATTTTTCTGCATACTTTTTCTAATCCAATCATTTAATATTTTTCTTCATTACTTACTTCATATTTTTTCTCTCATAAATTATATTTATTTTAAAAAACCCAGGACACGTGATCCTGAACATATGGGGTTCTTTTTTTACATTCTTTTAACCAAGACAAATAGTTTGTATGATTTTTTTTAGTTGAGAGTGCCATTAAATGTTGAAGAAAATGATTTAGGTACATAATGATTCTTCTGTAAGTTTAGAAGTTTGAAGATTGGATCAATTTCCCTAAAGAATATGTACCATGACAAAATAATGCCCTTCATGGGATATCCCAGGGGTAGGCAACCTTGGCTCTTTTATGATTCGTGGACTTCAACTCCCAGAATTCCTGAGCCAGCATTGAATTCTGGGAGTTGAAGTCCATGAGTCACAAAAGAGCCAAGGTTGCCTACCCCTGAGATATACCATTGAGAGATAGCTGAGGTGGCTGACATTAGGAAATCTTGGCGGGAAATACTTGGACTAACAGAAAGCACTGAGGCACTGATCATAGCAGTGCAAAAACAAGCACTAAGCTTGGAGCAGAGGTCTATCATACTAGACAGGACTCAAGGTGCAGACTGTGCAGAGAGACCTCAGAGGCACATAGTGACAGGTTGTAAGATGCAGGCAGGAACATCCTAAGTGGCACAACCAAGTAGCAGGCATTGTGTACAGCAACAATGTAAGGGCTAGAACCTCCCAAGTCAAGAAGGGAGATGTCACAGAAGTTTGTGTAGAATAAGAAGGTTAAGAGCCTGTGCAACTTCCAGATAGAGACAGACAGGCAGGTACTGGCCAGTCAACCAAATATCAAGGCAATAGACAAGGATCAAACAATAGCAGTTATGATAAATGTAGTTGTGCCAAGTGACAGGAATAAATGTGAGAAACTGCAGAAATTCTAAGGCCTGAAGAAGGAACTAGAGGGGATGCAGAAAGCAAAGATCAAGTGGCTGCAGAGCTGGTAGGAGCACTTGGGGCTGTGGCTCTTAAGCTGGGAGAGTGGCTCCAGCAGATCCCAGGAACCACATCAAAGCTCTCTGTCCAGAAGAGTGTGGTTCTAGAAACGGCTAAGTCTTGCCCAAAACCCTCAAATTCCCAGGCCTCTGATGGAGGACCTGAGATGGAGGAAGACACACACCACCCATAGGGGTGAGAAAGGAATTTTTAAAATACTTTTGATCTTTTTCTTCTCTTCCTGTTCATTCCTGCTGTTTTTTGTATGTATGTATTTTTAGTGCTTTGTCTAATAAAAAACATTATAATTAGAATTAAAAATGCATAATATATATTAATTGATATATATTATTAGTATTTTAATATACACTTGAATACCTTTTAGATCTTAAAAACTACATCACAAATGTAGATAAGCATGAAAATCAAAAGGTAGTTAATATGTCTAAGAATTCTCCAAAATCTTTTGGAAAAGGTTGGTTCCATCTTATGAGAGCACAACCTTTATTTGCTATTCATTAAATCACCATTTTTTAAACCTTTTTTATTTTCAATTTTTTTCTCTTTAATAACACAATCTGAAAAAAAAGAATGTTTGTGTTAATGAATAACCGAGAAACAACAAATGAGCAATTGAGTGAGTTTTGAAGCACTTTTTTCAAATCAGTTTAGAAGAGTTCATAGCTCAAATAATTATATTCCGATCTGAACATCAGCTAGAGATAGTTCATATTACAATGGCTTAAGATTTAATTACTTGAGCATCCTTAGTTCTAAAGTAGGATCATACATCAACAAAATAGGTCAGAGCTGGATAAATATAGCAACTATTTTTAAATAATAATTCTAATATAAACTGGCCTTTTATTTTATTTTACAGTAGATATTAGAAAATGTAAACTACTGAGCAAAGGAAATAATTTCAATGAATGGCATACTGTTAGGAATATTGAACAATATATTCAACACAGTGAACAATGTAAAGGGAACCCAAACTAACCATTCCTTGCTTAGACTTTGTCCTTTCTATCCTACCTAGCTCAGCAACCTTTGCACAGAATCGCTGTAGAACCCTTTCCATTGTTTATAACTTCTCATGCCCCCATTTTGCCCCAAAGAATATGATGTATGCTTGATATTTATATAGTATAATTGCAGAGCTTTTATTTGGACTTAAAAAAAAGATTACGATTGTCTTGCATGTTTGAAAATATTTTGTTCAAGTTTTCAAATAAAAATAAAAACTGTCCTGTGTAAAATCAATTTTGCCTAGAGTTAAACTCCATAGAGAAAATAATGCACTTAGCTTTTTTCCACTAGAAGACCATCTTGAAAAACCCTTCCCCTCCCACAAAGCTATTAGCTATTAAATGAAACTTGATTATATACGTACGGGTGCAACCTCCTTCCTCAAAATCATAAAATCCATGAGCACAATGGTCACATTTTTTTCCTCCAACACCTGGTTGGCAGAGGCACTGTCCGGTTTCATTGCAGTCAAATGATTTCGATCCAAATGAATTACAATTGCAAGGGACACATCCTCTTGATGACTGCACACCAAAGGTACCAGACTGTCATAGTAGAGACAGAATATCAGTTAGCAAAAATAAAAACAAGGGGATAGAAAAGAGGAAGGAACAAACAGATTTGAAAAACTACCTAAAGGTAGAAAGGAATGACTTTACTTTTTTTCTAACTCAGACCACCAAAATGAATTAGAACGGATAAATACTGTCATTTTCACTGGTAGCCAAATGACACTATCACATTACCCAGATTCATATTTTAGATGTTTTAAAGTTGTTCAGCCTAAAATACATTTGTAAATGTTCAAAGGTGAAATTCAAATAAATCCCTTTTGAATTTTATGAACTCAAATATGTACATGAAGACTCATTAACTCATTTTTGTTAAATAGCACAATGCAAAAGCACATCTTTTAAAAAAAATCTTTTCTGTTACAAGAAAAACATTTTACAAAGATACACCTGTATCTTATATAAAACTTTGCCATTAAGGAGTTCGCAATAGCTCCTTGAGCTACCATTACAAGAACTTGATCAAAGCATAAAAACATACACCAGTATACTTGATACCATTATTTTGCCTTAATTATGGATCTGCTTGGCCCAGTGGTGGGATTCAGCTGGTTCGCACTAATTTGGCAAAAATGGTAGCTAATTTTTTATTGGCCAGGCCCAGAACAGACTTCCCGAAGCAGCATCCACACAGAGAACTGGTTGTTCACATATTTGAATCCCACCACTGGCTTGGCCTCTTGATCATCCAGTAAAGCCTGAATTTGTTTCTTGATGGGAAGCCAGGTTAAAACAATAAACATGCACATTTTATAGACATTTCTTTTTTTGGTGTACTGGGATGATTGCCATATTTAGCAATGAGAGGAAAAGCTTCACTGATGCAATTAAAGTTTAATTAAATACTCCTATCCTCTTATGTTACCCTCTTATCTCTTCTCATGATGCAGAAAAAGGCAAGAGAGAGAGAGAGAGAGAGAGAGAGAGAGAGAGAGAGAGGGAGAGAGAGATAAAAAAAAACCCAAACCAAAGTTGAAATTCCTCAAAAGTAATTCAGAATTACTCAATGAAGCCAGGCATAGTCAGCATGTAGTTTTAAATAAATAGTTGGATGATAAATCCTGTTTAAAGGCTGAAAATAATAAAATAAATACCCTTTTAGAATAAAACTTTTTGCTACAAGATTCTGATTCCCCTTGTGTGAATTTCCTTTTCAAATGAACCAATAATCCTAGAGGTTCACATACTTGTGCCACTATATTTATGCAGAAATGTTGAAAATGTTGAAAATCCAATTTTTTAAAATACCTCTGTATCTGTTAACTAAAATTATGTTTTATCCGCTGTGTTCACATGAAGGTAGTAATAATCTAATACATTTCTTCTTCTGTTTAATACAGGTAGTCCTCGACTTACAACAGTTAATTTAGTGACTGTTCGAAGTTACAAGGGCACTGAAAAAAGCGAGTTATCATTGTTCTTTTTACACTTACAACTGTCACATGATCAAAATTTGGACACTTGGCAACTGGTTCACATTTATGATGGTTGCAGTGTCCCGGGCTCATGTGATCAACTTTTGCGACCTTCTGACAAGCACAATGGGGAAGCCGAGGTGGCGCAGCAGTTAGAGTGCAGTACTGCAGGCCACTTTAGCTGACTGTGTTCAGCAGGTCAGCGGTTCAAATTTCACCGGCTCAAGGTTGACTCAGCCTTCCATCCTTCCGGGGCAGGTAAAATGAGGACCCAGATTGTTGGGGGCAATGTAAATATATATATACATTGCTTACTGGTGTACACCGCTTAGAGAGTGCTTGCACTTAAAGCGGTATATAAGTCTCATAAATAAATAAATAAATAAATAAATAAATAAATAAATAAATAAATAAATAAAAGAAGCTCGGTTGCCATGATGAATTCCAAGAAGTTTTGAAACTACAGCTAGAATAGCAGGTTCTCTCCATCCAACACATGCTTGAGCAGGGGGCTGGACTAGAAGACCTCCAAGGTCCCTTCCAGCTCTATTCTATTCTATTCTATTCTATTCTATTCTATTCTATTCTATTCTATTCTATTCTATTCTATTCTATTCTATTCCATTCCATTCCATTCCATTCTATTCTGATACAACCAGTATCTTCGAAAATGAGGAGAGTTTTAAAAAGAGTTTCACTATTTAAGGCAGCAAGACCTGCCATTCAAAGTAAAGGACAAAGGAATTCCCTTGGGTACCTATAAATTCTTGGTTTGGTATAAAGTAGCTCAAGAGATTGTGGCCCATTGACAAGAAATTCAATGTTTCTTTTAACACACATCCTGCTATGCCAGAAATATTGTTATTTCTGGCTTGTAGCTCCCTATGCCTTTGAGCATCACTGTAAGGGCTTGAAAAAACATCATGCAGGAAAGCATATAAATGCATCTGTCAGTAAACAACCATGTCTGTGCATATTACTCATAGCACAAGGTCAGCAAAAGCAAGGGTTGCCTAAGGGAATCACAAGAATCTGCCTATATCTATGTACTGCAGGGTCAGATCAGGTCAGAGAGTTCATTTAGGGTTCATCAGATTCCCTGTTCCGCATCTCTTGAATTCTGCTACAATATTTTAACACGAAAGATGTAAAATTAAATGGAAAGCTGACAAGCTGCACAACAAAGCACCTGTCTCTATCACATTTTACTTACAAGAGCATCAAGGCTCTACAGCAGTGTTTCTCAACTTTGTCAACTGACTGGGGAATTTTAGGATTCACATTGCCAAGGCTGAGAAACAACACTGCTCCAAAGCACACTTTTGGGAGCATCTTACCAATTTGTGTGGTAATAAAGTGGAAACCATTTTGTTATAATGTGTCCAATTTCTCAAAAGGAGGCTATACCTCATTCATATCTTTTAAAGAAAGAATTGAAATTATATTGGATTACTTGAGAAAAGATTTGTTTTATTTTTTTGTGTATTAATGGTGTTAATTTTATGACTAAAATTGGCTATACTGTATATTAATTTAAAAAGTACTGTTGTGATATGTTTGTAGAAATAATTCCTTAAGCATTTGGGTGAAAGGCTCTATCCCAGAAAGTTATCATTCCATCATTATAATTTTCTCAGTCTTGTTTTGAAAGTTGACAGGACAGCGTTTTGGGTAGGTTGTTAATGTAGAACTTCCCAGCACAAACGCATGCCAAAATGCAAGGCATGCGGAATGTATCATGTTTTATTACCAAATCAGAAGACTTGAAAGCACCTCTTGGACACCCACTTGCAGTGGGAGAGCCCCATCTTTGGTGGGGTGCTTTCGTTTGTTGAGAGTTTGACGGCTTCCGTTTCCGGATATACACCTGCCTGCTCAGTTCACATCGTTTACCAGCAAATCCAGATTTACAAATACATCTCCCTGATACATCACAGTTCAAGGACATAGATCCTACTGGATTGCAGCCACATGGAATGCAGAACTGCTTTTCTGGAGCCCAAAAGTAAGTGGACTTTTGAAGAGAAAGAAGGGAGGAAAACAAGTTAAGAAGTGAATGTACAAGAAATATCAGAACAGTAGATAACTTGAGAATAAAAGCAAGAAATACCAAAGCATTAATATTTGCAGAGCTAAATCTCAGGGCAAACCATATGACTATTATAGCATGTTTTTGTACTTCAAGCCTTCATTTTTATTTATAAAACCAAGCAAATGATGCTATGAATAATTTCCAGTAAGATTTTTTTTTTCTTTTACATCACATGCAGTACAATAAATAATTTGGCAAATATTAGAAAGAATTCTGGAAATCATATTTTTGCTGCTTAAAAAAATTCTGGAATATTGATTGATTCTTCCTCACACTTCCAGCTGTTTCAGTTTTAAACAACCATACAGGAGATGGGGACAAATGTCTAATAGAAATCAACATTGATATTCCCTAAAACTCTCATGCTTTATAATTACTCTCTAATTTCATAATTACTCTCTAAACTAATTACCTGTTTATTAGCTTCAGGATATACTTGGTTATTTGCCGTAGCTATTTTACAATATTGTATTCTAAATGCTTCAAGGCCTAATATAAAGAGGTTTAAGCATTTATATTATCATGAGAAAAAAATATAAGTACTGTATATCATTATGATCAAGATGCATGAGTTCTAGGCATCTTCATTGATAAGAAGTATATCAGTAATTTAATGTTAAACACTTAATGAACTTTGTGCTCATCACTGTATTGTCAGGATTCAGAAAGGCATTGGAGTTATTCCTTATTCTTATTTCCTTATTTATTCTCCATTTTTGTATCTGGGAAAAGCAGATTAGATCAAATGATACATTTTATATAGTATAAATAGTATAAACTCTAAAATCTTCTCAGCAAATATTTCTTAAGAGCATAAGATGAAAGCTGAGGCATGTAAATACAATTTATATATACATAGAGATATATAGCATTTAATATATTTTATATATCAACGCAGACATCTCCATGGTACAGTTCTGCTGAAAGTGCAACTTTCTGCTTTTAAGTCATATCACAGGTCAAGGGCTGGAGAATCTGGGATGCTCACCATTGTTTATATGGTTAATTACAATACATGGAAAGGCCGTTGCTATAAAGGAAATATACATTAGATTGCATAGTTAGCATTTCCCTCCATCATAGTGCATTATAATGAATGATAATCCATCTCAGAAAAAAATAAAAAAAATATTTTTATCACACCACAGAAAAAAAGACATCTGTCCATTCAGCTACTTGAACATTTTAAAAACAAGTGAACTCTTATGTCAATATTTTAATGAAAATTATTCCTTGCCCCTTTGAGACCATAAATAAAATAATCATGATATATTTATTTTGTTTTAGATTCTAAAAGTGGAGAGATTTTGTGCCCCAAAATAACATAATTTATTTAGTAAACTGAATTGTTCCAGAAACACAATGAAGGCTAAGATTTTAAGACTGAAAAGAAAGTCACATAACATAACTTGCTATGTGTCTAAAAGTACCAATGGCATTTTATGGATATAGAAAAGTTCTTCTATTCCATAAATGATGGGAAATAGAAGAATTAAGTCTAGATCAGATTCTGGTGTCTTACCTTACACTGATTACATTGACGTCCCAGAACATTGGGCTTGCAATGACATTGTCCAGTCTTAGAGTCACAGACTTCTGAAAATGAGCCATTGATATTGCAGCTGCAGGCTTGAGGTAGACAAGAACAAGTTGAATTGAGCTGATAATGAACATCCTTAGAACAAATATGTATAGAACTGTATACATAAACATTTGCTGGCAATCTTTTGCAAGAGTTTAGTCATCTAGCTCCTGTAACATTTAAAATTATCTTACACTGATGAACAGAAGGCTAGAAAAGACCAGCTTCTGGGACAGGAGATGGTCATAAATTACAAATCAATTCCTGATTTATAATTTACAGCCTGTCATCCAGCTAATCTCCACAGTTCTAATACAAGTGAAAGACTCTAGAATATTTAGCAAGGGAATAAAGAGGAACATTCTTTTCTCCCATTTATCATCTTTTAAAAGCTGAAGAAGCAGAACTAAACCCATAAAGACACAATTCTTTATTTATCGGTAGTTTCCCAGTTATAAAAAAAAACCTATAACAAATTAAGGCAATAATTTGATGTCTACACAAACTAATGACTCTTTGTTTCAGACCCTATGATGGCCTTATACAACTTGTAATTTATTCAGTTTAATAAAGCACCCACCATTTGTGGCAGGCCAACATACGTTCTTGTTTTTCCTGAGTTCGAGTGGAAGAAGAGAGGACTGTCAAATAATATTAAGGTGCAAATATGTTTTTAAATGTCAGCATTTGTAAGATGTTTGTACTTCAGCTCCCAGAATTCCCCAACCATTATGCATGATGGTTGGGGAATTCTTGGAGCTGAAGTACAAACATCTTAAAATAGCTAAAGTTGAAAAATGCTAGTGCAGTACTTTTACATTCATGGTGGCAAATGACAATTTATTAACCTGACCTATGGATTTCCTCTTCAGTTCAAAAAACTGTAAAATATTTCAGTTTTTTTAAAGTATTAAATGGAGCATAAAGACCTTTCAGGTTCACTAAGACCTTTCCACCTTACTTTTTGTCCGTTGACAAAAAGTAGGTCTAGTTCTCAGAATAAGGTTCTTCCTTATTCCTTATCTCATTCCAAATGTTACATATGTATATTATAAGAGACAGTGTTTCTTAAAATGAATCCTAAAAATATTATCCCCTTAAAAAAATTGACATTTGAAAATTGGCAAAAAATTGGCTTTTTTTTTGTACAGATAACATAACATATCAGTCAGTCAGGATGTGGAATCAGGATGTTGGTTATTAATAGATCATTGTTCTGATTGGTTTATTCATGAGTATATATGATAATACTTGTTTAAATTACCATGTATTCCATATATACTTGCAAATAAGCCTATGCATGGATAAAATGACCACTGAATTTTGAACCAAAGTTCCATGAAAAATGGATAATCCATACATTACCTAATGATAAGTCAACAGGCAAAATTAAAGCTACCTGTACATCTATAACTGTATCTGTAAAACAACTGAATCTATGAAAAATGTTGAGTACTTTGACTGTGACTCAAGAAGCTTTATGCAATGAAGACAATTACAATTCCATCTATAGTTCGATTTTTCAAATTCAGGGTTTTAATGCTAGTATCTTTAACAAATACATCATCAGATATGCTAGTGAATTCTTAATAAACTTTTATTTTAGTCTGAATGTTGTTTGTGCTCAGAACCTAAACAGAGTCAAACTTGTTTGGGAGTTGGATGACCCCTACCCCCCAAATATCTTAAGAGCTGTAGACTAGAGACAGAGACAATGAAGAACATAACACAAACTACTTGTCTACATATTAGGAAATGCATGGATACAAAATGAGTATTTTAATTATGGAAACATGAATGAGGAATAGGAGTGTTTTTGCAACAGATCTGCAACTTTGCAGAAATGGTCAGGAGCAAACATGAGGGAAAAGGTGACAAAGGAACACAGTAAGAGAGCTCATGTTCAGACAACAGCTGTGGTTGCAAGAATGATCAAGGGAAAACTTAATGATGGACAAATGAGAATATCACAAAAACAAGTATAGACAAAAGTGAGTATCTCTAGGGTTTTGTTTTATTTTCTATGTTTTATTTATTTATTTCCACAATGTGTAAAACTTTAAAAGGTTACTGAAAAAAAGGAACTGATTTCATAGAAGTCGTATCGGTGAGTGTCATTCTTAATCATTTTGTCTGTTACAGAACTTCACAACTATTTATTGAGAGGATGTGATCAGCAAATTGCTCTGAATTTCCTGCTATCTTCTGAGCCCTTTTATAGATTAGCCAAAAAAGATTAGTGGTACTTTATTTTTTCAAATTCAATTTCATCCAGTTTCCCATTTTTAAAAATTAACCATTCTACCCACTTATACATTAGAATGTGATTGGTTTAAAGTAATTTTTAAATATTTTTATTGCATCGTTTATACTAGTAAATCATGCCGTTCCCTGCAAAACCTTTAGCATTCAATTTTTCACTTCCTGGCAAAACATTTAAAAGCAGTGAAGTGGTTCCATCCTCTCAAAGATTTGGCACCAATACTTAAGTTTATCCTAAATTACCTAGGATCGCTTCCAAAGCAGGCATGCTAATCTTTGAAAGGAATTACTCACTTCAAATACCAATTTTACACTATTGCAATAATCAGAGATATTGCCTAAATTATTTTTATAGCCTTAGTGACAATATATTTCCAACTAGTTTAGCAATGTTTGTTTCACACTAGGATACCCCAGCTCCTCAACCTCTGGCATAGAAACATGACATATAACAGAATACATGACACCTCTCTTCCTCACAAAGATATACTTTAATTGTGATTAATTTTATGGGGGCGATTCATTCTCAAACGCTTTCTATAAATAGAGGTAGCCAGCTTTTATAAATGTGCGAACATATATTCATGTATAATGTTTTATTTGTGTGGTTTTTTTTAACTTCCTTTGTCTTATTGCAGGAGGCACTTCCAAAAAGAGATTCAAACATGGTACCATAAGGAAAGGGGGAATAAAGGCTGTGGTCCACACACAAATAATATCCAATTAGATATAATAACTCTCCATGACAGAAAGAAAGTCAAAAACTCACAGAAACTGAAGTACAGAGGAATAGAAGAATAAGGGTCACATCTCTAAAAGGAACATTATACTGATGGCATTGTGTAAACAAACCAACAAATCATGACCACTAGGCAATTAACAGGCTATTGAGTGTGTGGGGGTAACCAACCAGACAATCTGAATGGCTCTGTTTTATGTAATACGAATTTACTGTAGGTAAATACTATGCAAATAAATGCACGTTCTGTTTGACACAATCATGAGATGTGCCTGCAGGGAATGAATGCATTTTGACAGGGAAAGCAAGTTTCCAGGACTTACGTTGACATTTCTTTACATCAAGAGCATCTCCGAAATACCCGTCAGCACACTTCTCACAGTACTGGCCTGTTGTACCTGGCTTACAGTTAAGACAAGCTCCAGACAACCTGTCACAGCTGCCAGGAATGGAGAAGTCAAGGTTGTCATTACATTGGCAAGGCTGGCATAATCCCCCTGGTTTTGAAGGTTGTCCAAAATAGCCTTCTGCACACCTAGGGCGACAGACAGATCAGTTCTAGCATTTACTTTGGCCTGTTGGCATTAAGCAATGATTACAGTTTTGTCCTTAGGAATAACTAACAATAGCTGGAGTTGGATACTCTGAAGCATTTCCAGACCCTCTTTCCTCATTTAAAAACAAACAAACAAACAATAATAATAATAACAACAGACTATAGCAAAATTATCAGCTGAAATACTGCCAGCTATGCTTTGTGTTAGATAATAATGTGGAAGGAGGGAAATAAGAAGAGGCTATGCTGTAACAAGTAAGGATGAACAAAATCATAGTCAGAAATACCATCTTTGCATTGAAGTTTATATAACACCATATAGGTACCATGTACAAGGGCACAATAGCATAACTTACTTAGAAAACTGCTATTCTCCTCCGCAACATAAAAATCCCTGTTTAAGATGGAACCTAATAAACTTTGCAAATAGACAAGGAAGTAGAGTATATGCATAATAAATCTATACCTCTATTCATAATAAAGACTGTTTCTGAATTATACATGTATGCAAATGCAATGCCTTACTCTGAATATGTTTAGGATAGTAGCTAAAATTCTCTGTGGACTACTACCACAAAATAGGCATGTCTGTAATGTTTAGAAGGATAGAGGAAAATGTTAATGACCAGGTCATATGAATCTTGTTCAGTGAACAGTTTCAAAGAAGATTGATAGGGCGGAAGACAAATGGCTCCATAAGACTATAATCTTCATGACTTGTAATATATAACAACACACAGTTAGAAACTCAGTCCTATACTTAGAGCCTTAGTCTGCTTCTTTTGTCTTAAATTACATAGAAGCATAGAACAAAGGTTCCCATGTGGCCAATGCAATATGATTGCTGAAAGTATATTGAAACAATGCAGATTCCTCCAATTAATACTCATTATTCTCTTTGCTTATCTAGCTTTGTTAGATTTTTTTTCTTTTTCTATTACCGTAGGCTTTGTCTTTCATCCGATAATGCCAACATTTTTTTCAAAGCCTATTGTAATAACAGCACCCCAAGGATGTGTGTAATGCATGAACTTCTAATCATAACTAACTCTTCAACAAATGACAATCCACTTATATTCCTCTTTGGCGCTCTGCTACCTAAATTTAATACAAACTTTTGTCTCTTGGCATTCTACCAATGTGTCTATATGCTTATTCAAGCATTCCACTGGAGCAAACTCTTCTAACAAAAGTTCCTGCTTTGGCACCTTCCAGTTTAACTTGGGAAGTGGAGGCATTAAAGTTCTCCTTACCCCTCAGCATCTATCCTGCCTAGCTAAAGACATAATTTACTAACCACCATTTTATTTTCCTTTTCAGTCTACTATGCCAACATTCACGGAAAAGAAATTCATGTAGAACATGAAGTGTATGATATTAGCAGAAAAAAATATGGTACTGTATCGGGATGCTTATGAGGAGAGAAAAACACAGGAACTTAGAAGGGGGATGCAGATATAGTTACAAAAAGATATTGTTCATATTTTTCTAGTTTCTTAGCATTAGTTATATCAAGAGCAATCCCAATCTAGCTAGAAAGTACATGTTTCCTCTGACAACTCTAAAGTGATTCCGTTTCTAAAGTTCATGTTGTGACTTTTAAGTTAAAGGACAGCATGAATTCACAAAGAATCTGATTAATCTATTCAGAATGGATAATAATTATTCCACATGAATGAAACAAAATGGTTGAGCTGCATATGCTGATTTCTGAAAATAACTGAACAGTAGTCATTGAAAGAGAGCAGCAAGATCCAACTTTGCTTGCTCTTTTTGAACACCATAGCTTAAGAAAAGCTATAGAAAATAAACCTAAGCAAGGACTGCTGGATGTGGACCTGAGAGGCCCTTTGGGCCTAAAAGGTGATGCAAGTTGCAACTCAGTTTTCCTCAAGGAAGTGCTTTACATTTGTTTTACACACTTTCAGAGGCCTCTTCCAGATTTTGAAAATACCAGAAAAGGCCTCCGAAATTGCTCTGTGCAGATCAAAGAGAAGCAAAATCCCTGCTTCGCTCTTAGAAATGAGAAAATTGTACTGCTTCACAAAGCAGCTTTGAGTCAGAGTGTGTTTACTCAAACCTAGGTGGGAAAGGAATACAGAATACAGAGTACAGAATAATAGAGTTGGAAGTGACCTTGGAGGTCTTCAAGTCCAACCACCTGCTCAAGTAGGAGACCCTATATCATTTCAGATAGTCTCTTCTTAAACGCCTCCAATGATGAAGCACCCACAACATTTGAAGGCAAGCTGTTCCACTAAAAGTTAATTGTTCTCACTGTCAGGAAGTTTCTCCTTAGTTCTAGGTTGTTTCTCTCCATGATTAGTTTCCATCCATTGTTTCTTGTCTTGTCTTGTCTTGCCTTCCTGTGCTTTGGAAAATAGGGGACAGTAATTTCAAAGTGTAGATGTAGATGTAAAAAGGATCCACAACAATATTTTGTTTGTAATTTATAAGTAGTCTTTGCTTAATGACCGGTCACTTAGTGACCATTTGAAGTTTCATTGGAAACTCCCCCCCCCTCAAAAGGTACTTTTGACCTGGATTTGAAGTTCTGATGTCTGCCCCCCCTGTGGTCATATGATTGCGTTCTGAGCACTCAGCAATCAGCCTGCATTTACAGCCATTTGCAGTGTCCCAGGGTCACATATGGCTGTGATTTACAAGGGGGAGGTGCACTAGCAACAGGTGTTTGTTTCCATTTTCTAGTTAAAAAAAGAGCCCATTGTGAACAACAGGTTCACTTAACAATTATGACATTTGCTGTGACTGCTGCAAAAATAATTTCATAAAATTGGGTTGGTCATACGATTACCCATTTAACAACTGGCACAACTTACCATCATAATTCTGGCCTCAGTTCTGATCTTAAGCCAAGGACCACCTGTACCCCAGTCACTTCCAGGTTTTTCTCCATTTTCTGCTAACTTTTCCTATTTAGAAATTTCTGAAAGTTTCTTGTTTTTCTTACATTAAAATAAAATCAGGTCAATGGTATCTGGTTCTTCCCTGAAATAAATTCCCACTCGCTATCTTTGAGAGCTTCTAAATTCGAAAGTCTCCACCTTTGCTGAACATGCACTGGCCCATACATCTTCTGCTCAACTACAACACCTCAGATGTTCTTGATGAGACATGAGAATGCGGGGGGGGGGAGAAGGGAGGGGGAAAAAGAGACAGAACGAGAGACAGTATCTCAAGTGCAGGCCTTAGGGTATAAACATGAATATAACAAGGAGTCTGTTGAGAGAAAAGGATGGCAAAGAAGACAGAAACATTCCACATTTACCAAAGGAGAAATGATATCAACTTTGGAAACAACAAGGAAATAGTTACGGAACATAAAAGAACTTCTGGAATATGAAGTGATGGTCTTTTTTTTAAAGGGTAAAGACAAGAAAAGATGAAGCAGCAGCAGAAGAAATGGGCAACTGTCCCTCCAGACAAACACATACTGTATAAAGGTAGCCTGGTAATGTATAAGGATTTGGCAAGGGGAAAAAAAAACCACTCATAAAATCAGTACAAGCACTGAAGAGGAATCATTATGGTTCCAAGGCAAAATTAATGAAGAACATTTCATGATAATTTCTAAATTAGTTAGTTTAATAGCTAAACATGACAGAGGAGTACTGGCATGCTAAAACCTGAAGAGATTTCATGCAAATTCTGAAATGATTACTCACTGTCATTTAATAGCTTCTATAGAAAGCTTTCTAAATACACAAATGCAATTGCCTTGAGCATTTTTATGCAATTTGTAACAATTAAAAAAGCACTTATGCAGATACATTTCTAGCTTTCCACGGATGGTACTCCTGGATGGAAATCGCAGTGACCTCCACATTGACCCACTATAAGTAAGTACTTTTCAGCTGATTTGGTTCTTACATTTATTAGCTTCATGTCTCTCGCGTTTGAGAGGCCAGCAGAAAGGAAAGATAGATAGAAATAGCATTCAGAAGTGACAGTAACAGTGGTAAGTGAGTGAATATGTAAGTCCTCTTTGTGGCAGATGGATTTGGCCAAATATAGGGCTTTCTGTATATGCTGAATCCTTTGATTCAATTCCCAGTATGAATGGAACAGACTGCATTCTATTAATTGAATATACTTTCTAAAAATTTTCTCCTTACTGTTATACCGAAGGGGCATTCTATATTTGTTTGTATTTCTTTACATAAATTGCAATTCCTCAAATTCCACATACTACAGCAGTAGGTGTTTTAGTGCAGCAGTCCCCAACCTTTCCACCTTGGTGGCCTGGCCTTGCCCAGAACACCAGGGGGGGCAGCGGTGTGAGTGGTAGGTACACACACACAGCTCTATTGGTGCAAGCGGTGGGTGTGCACAGCCTCCGCTCATGCAAATGGAGCCTCATGCATGAGTGGAAGGCCCTTATGCTTGTGCGCAAAGCTCTACTCACACAAATGGAGCTTTGCGTGTGATCACTCTCTGCTAGCAAGAGTTGAGGTTCGTGCATGAGCACAAGCGCCCTCCACTCAAGCACCCTCTGCTTGCACGAGTGGAACTTCACATGGCACCATTTCAAGCAGACTGCAGCCCAGTTGTGGGTCATGGCCCAGGGGTTGGGGATCCCTATTCTAGTGCAATGTTTCCCAACCTGGCAGCTTTAAGATGTGTAGACTTCAACTCCTCATGCTGTATGGGGAATTCTGGAAGCTGAAATTCACACAACTTAAAATCTCAATGAGGTTTGCTTAAGAAGGGATTGCGCAACATGTTTAATGATTGATGCATGTATCTCTACCTGACATTCAGAAGAACCTGTCATTGTTCTGCTATACAAAAGAAAAGGTAGGAAGAACGAATGCAGAATGACAGAGAAATTAGTTTGCTTGGGAAGTTTGAGGCATAATTTTAATCAAAAGGATGAGAGAAGACAATGATGACAGAATACAATGAGAAGATGATGACAAAACGTGAAAAGGGTAGCTTTAGCCAGGCAGGGGTTGAGTAGATTATTTTATGCTTGTCAATTTAAAGAAAGTATATGATAAACTGAATAGGTTTGAGTTATGGAACATTTTTTTAAAGTTGGTTGTGCAGTGTAATTAAAATGAAATATGATGTAAATAAAACAGTCTGAGAATGCTTAGTAAATGGTTCAGCACTGAGGAAAGAGTAAGAAAGGATGGTAATGGCTGTTGAATATGTTGATGCATGAAAGTATGCAGAATACTTGTAACATTATACTTATGGAGTTAACAGATGAAAATGTATGTGTGTGTATGCATGTTTGTACAGTAAAGCTATGCCTTGTTTCTGTTTAGAACATGAATAATTTGCAGCAAAGAACAGATTCTGTGATGCAACAAGAAGTTGAAAATTAATGAATCAAAATCTGAAGCAGTTTTACACAATAATATTTCTTTAAAAATAAGAATTAATTCAAGAAAAACTAGTTTGAAGAAAGACAGTTGAGCAAAAATGTTAAAAGGAATAAAGTTTTAGGTTAATTATATGCCTTTTCTTGAGAAACCAGAGAGTGATTTGAAATGGAATGATATGCAGGTATGAAGATTAATCTCAGTATAAGTGGGATATCCCTGACCAATAAGCAGTTGCACAGCACAAACAATAGTGTCAGCAGGATATGGTGAACTCTGTGGCAGAGCACAGTTCTTTATAAATGCCATATAGCTCTTCAAGTATGGTAATGGAGAAATGATAAAGATCATAATAGTCAACACATACACACACACACACACGAAGAAATATGGCTCAGTGTAGAAAAGATCCATGTACATTCCCATCCCTAAAAAATAGATATAAAGGGATATAAGAACATAGTTCTAATAGCACATGCCAGCAATATTCTGTTGGAAATTTTAAAGCCCTATATATATAGAGAGAGAAGTGCAATAGAACAAGTGGGTGTCAGAAATAACAGGGGAATATGAGAACTTACAGCTAATATTAGATGGTTGATTGAAATAGTAGCAGAGTATTAAAAAGAACACTACTTCAGTATGACAGAATACTTTAAAGCTTTTGATTGTGTTGATAATTCAAGATTTAGGAAGCCTTTCAAAGTAAAGGCATGCTCCAGCTTTTGATTCGTCAGTTACGAAATTTCTACAATAATTAGGAAGCCACATTTAATAACATGAAAAGATTTAACATCAGAAAAGTGGACAAATAGGGCTGTATTCTATCACCACACTTATTCAATCTGTATATTGAGGATATAATATAGACTTCAAGGATGGAAAAACTAAAACTTGGGGTTGAAATTGGTAGAAGGAGTGTAAATAAGACACATGTGGACACTATGTTGGCTGTAGAAATTAAAGAAGACCTAAGAACAAACATACTAGAAATAAAACAGGAGATTAAAGACAGAGCTTTCACTCAACATGAACAAAAACTAAAAGTACATCAACAAGAATGTCAACAGTAAACAATGACAGAAGTAGTTATCAGTTATAATTATCTTGGCTCCACAATTGATGAAGATAATGAGTATGTAAAAAAGATTGAGAAAAAATAACAATGGTCAAAAAGGTATCGAAGGGCCTAGACAAATTCTTGGAGACATTTCAGTCAAAGAAAAGTTAGACTAGACAATTCAATGATATTCCTGCTATAAAATACAGATGATAGGGATGGACTCTGCACAAGAGCAAGAGGAAGAAGATTGGCTCTTCTCAGATATGGTGCTGGAGAAAGCTGCTTCACATTCCTTGGGCAGCTGAGAAAACCAATGCATCTATGAAAAATATGATGGTACCATACTAGGTAAAGTGGATAAAAGGAGAAGAAGCAGCTAAGATACATGAATATTTTTTATTTGTTAAATTTATTTGCTGAAGGACTACTCTGGGTGGCTTACAACAATAAAAACAGAGAAACGAAGAGTAAACGTAACAGTATCAAAGTAATGAAACAATAAAGGTAAACAATGGAATATACAGTGAAGGTACAGTAATATGAGATTAAAAATGGGTGGAGGGAAGCCAGGAGTGCAGGAGGGAAGTGGGGTTTGCTATTAGACCAGTATAGTACTCCTCCCCCATAGGGTCTCCAGGCCAGCTTGCACAGCTAGAATAGATGGAGTGCTGGAAACCCCAAAAATCCATCTGCAAAAATTATATGAGCTGAGAAACAGAATAACTTGGCAACCATTCATCCAGGGTCACCAGGAATCAGCTACAACTCAACACAACAAAAATATGGGATTTTAAAGTATAAGTAACAGAAAGTTAAAAAGAGGAAATTGTCTGCAATTCATGTTCTCCCTTCGAATCATGCCTGCCTTTTCTTGACTTTTAATTGTCATAATTTTAAAAACATTTCACACAACTTACTTCAAGGAAAGAACAAAAAAAAGAACAAAGTGACGATGTACAGTTTTCACGATTGACTGCCAAATGTCTACATTTGTCTTTGTTCACTCACTTGGGAAGTCGTGCATTTTTATCATCCAAAAAGCAGTAGGTGGGTGGGAGAACACTTATGAAATATTTGTAATTGAGACAGCATCAAGAATCCTGTTTTCAGATACTAAGTAAACACTTTAAAGAATCAAAAGCTAATAAGTTTGAAAACACACAATTAAAAATAATTAAGATAAATAAATCTCGCCTTCGTTCTCACTTGCATTGTTTGGCTCATTCTAAAGAGATGAAAATGGCAACTCACTGAATAATTGATTAAATGCATTCTTGATATTCCAAACAAATTTGGAAGGCAGTATAGCAACAATTAAACCATTCAAAAAACCCAGCCAAAAAGGAAAAAATAAAAAAGAGAAAAATGTTTTTCCGATGTAATACTTCATGTTTATCTGGAAAATTATACCTGTTGGCTCATAAAGCAGCTGAAGAAATCTTCTCATTAAAATAGGATCCCTGCATGCCAATGATACTCTGCAATTATGGGACAGTACCATAAATCTTTAAAGATGGGTACATTAATATGAAAAGACGTTAGATTTTTTTTAAAAAAAAGAATGGCGCATTCTTAGGTGGAAAAAGAATTAAAATTAAAAAGCATGCAAAACTTTCTTACCTTTCACAGCGTAAGCCAGCGTACCCAGAGGGACATCCATCACAAATGAATCCATATGTTTGGTCCAAATGACACGTGGGGCTAAAACTTTGTTGTTGGTGGAGAGCAAGAACCGGGTTAGGGAAAAAGCATAGAAAGAAATTCATTAGCAGCATAGCTACTGTTGTTTTCTGAGAGCGCTGCTTTCAAAACAGAGCAAGGGGAAAATCTGTCTGGTCTCACACACAGGGCTTAGGGTTTGGCTCCAGCCATTGGAGCTATTTCTGCCGACACTGGATATAGCTCAAATGGGTGGCAGCATCCAAATGACATGTTGTTATGGGCCCTTAGTCTATCAATGAGACTCTACTCCATTTAAAAAAGCAGGAATGTACAGCTGTTTGTCTGAGCCCCCAAGGGCCTGGCCACACAGTAGATTCCCAAGTGAAAGTTCACTGCAGCTGAAGGACAATTGCTGGGGATGTTCAACAATCCCAGCTTACCTAAACAGATAAATCACACTGCTGCACTGAAGAGAAAGAAAGTTGAGAATCATGCAGCTTTTTAAAGGACTTTATCTAACAGCATGTAATTGCATAGATCAACTGACTAAATAACTGGCATCTAACATCTTACTATAAGCTTGCCTCAAGGCAGTATCCATTTGTTGACTTTCTACTTTCTTCCTTGGGAGAATGTAGTTTCCTGACTGCAACTTTCTGTGCTATTTTGAATAGTCTTCTAAGTCACCGGAGCAGATTTCAGGGGAAGAATGTTGGGACTAGCCAACAACCACATTCCTTCTCATTCTGCCAACAGCACCTTCCATATCAAAATCCATAAGCAATTTTACCAGTATTCACAGTCAGGAGTGTCAAAATCAGGTGGGCATGTCTAATCATTTCAATATATCATCAGGCAAATCTAGAAATATTTCTTCAAAAATAAATCTCACAGAATTCAAAGGGTCCTGTCCCCAAGGAGTAGCAGAAACTGATTGCAAAGTTCATTAATCATTCTCACCATCATAGCAGTTTTTTCACCACTTCTAGCCAGAAGTTTCAAATAGCTGCATATATATCAGAAATGGAGCTTTATATTGATTTATTTGATGTTTTTCTCCCTTTTTACAAATATTATAGCAGCCTCAAAGTTGCTTCTTTTTGGGAATCCTGACATTTGCATGTATATAATGAGTTCATTAGCTCTGAAAGCATTTTACCCTAGCTGTGTAGCTCTCCCTCCTTATCTCTTTTTCCTCTATATTTCTTTCTCTCCCCTACCTGATTGACACACTGGAATGAGATAATCTGCTGGCACATTGAAAGATACAAGCAGTTTGAAACAACAGGGTATCTGTCACTCTACTATTTTAAAGAGATCAGTCTTCAATTATTCTTCCTTTTATTTCACTTTGAGATTTGTTTGCACCACATAGATGTTAAATTTTCCAAACATCTCAGCAGTAGGTTCGCAGCCTTAGGATAAAACTTAGTTTAACATGATTGTAGCAGTGCAATAAAAATAAGCAAATAATGATAACAGTCTTTCTTCTGCTAACAATTAACATCTGCAACATTATAAGACCTAACTGAGATTTTTAACAAGTCTATGAATTGACAGGTAACCATTATTAAGAGAAACCATACAAGCTGCAGTTTTAATTATTGTGTTTTCTGCTGAAATCTAGAGTTTCTGATTAGCAGGAGAAAGCAAACGTGTATCTACTTAGGAGAAGTCATTAATTTTAATGGGACTTATTTTCCAGTAACCAAAGCCCAGATAGATTATACAAAAGGGTGTTTTAAGTCAGAAGAAAGTAACTACACCCTGGATTGTATGAACTAAGTCATCATGCCCAGAGTAGCAGGAAAAAAATAAAGGGTACTGGGACAAATTGGTTTTTGTTTGCTTGCTTTCAAAGAATAAGCTCATGAAACTTACTGGATCAATTGTAGGATGTTTAAAAACAAAAATGTGTAAAAAAATCACACTGCTAAAAATGGTGATTTGCAATTAAATTTTGACATCATAATTTTGTGGACCTCAAAATGCCGCATCACATATAAGTTCAGAGCTACTTGCCCATCCCTATTTTATATGATAATTCTGTTTATCAAAATAATTGTGAGAGATCCTGGGAAGGAGAAAGGAAAGATAGTTCCATTTATGTGAGGAGAAGCACAGCACAGAGTTGGTGAGTAATAGAAAAGAAACATTTCTGAAATCCATGTCATTTTTTTGGTTTGCCAGGTATGTGAATTTTGAACTTAATCAACTCTGATTGGATCCTCAGAAAGTATGCTGTTTATGTAAATATAGCAAGTATAACTTTAGATGTTTTAGATACTGTACAGTATATTCCAGAGGGAGAGACCACCAAGACAAAGAACATTTTTTCCAACTTAATTTCCATATGTATTTCCTCTGTATAATTAAGTCTAATTCCACCCATTTCCATTGTTGTCAAATCCATCACGCATGTGAGGCCTGCTGCTAGTTCCTCTCTGGTTTTGCTTTGGATGACCAACATAGAATACATAGACTTGGTAACAGACCAACAAGTCACAAAATACTGCAAATAGACATCAGCTTTGTGAAGACTATAGCTGTCTGAGAATACTACCTGACAATTTGAAAGCTAAGCAAATCTCCATGTTAATACGGTCATGCTGAGAATCTGAGAGAAATTATTTGGCCCTTATAATAAGCACAGCCTTTCAATAAAGGAATCTGTAATTTTCAGGCTTCTGCATGGGCAGGTGAAAAGAGGTGACTGCTTTAAGAATTTTATTAACTTTAATGAGTCAACTTCTTAAAATAGCAGCATCTTTTCTCAGGCTTGCATGGCAGTCTGCAAAACGTTGGGCTGTTTAAACCAACAGTAGACAAAATTTGCTAACGTAACTCTTTCCTAATTATTTTTCAAGCTTGTACAGCCCTACTGTATATTGTCTAAAAATTGGAAGGTTTCCTTGTCCCTCTGTCAAATTCTTGAGCCTTCCAAGAGGAAATTCTGGTTTCTTTCTGGACCATATGCTTTTATTATAAAAGCATATTATAATTAAACATATAAAGGCACAATCATAAGAAGGGTCATCCAGCCAGTTATTAGCATAACAAGATTTTTTTCAGGCTGCAAGATTCAAGAAATTAGCTATTCCTATTCCAATGTGAACTCTATAGGCTTAACTGCAGTTTGCCAAATGTTCCACTGAGAAACAATGTTGGAAACTGATCAAAGAGAGAAACAACCTGGAATTGAAGAGAAACTTCTTGACAGTGAGGACAATCAGCCAGTGGAACAGCTTACCCCCAGAAATCATGGGCGCTCCATCATTGGAGATGTTTAAGAGGAGACTGGACATTCACCTGTCTGAGACAGTATAGGTTTTCTTGCTTGAGCAGGGGGCTGGACTAGAAGACCTCCAAGGTCCCTTCCAGCTTCTATTCTATTCTATTCTATTCTATTCTATTCTATTCTATTCTGTTCTGTTCTGTTCTGTTCTGTTCTGCTCTGCTCTGCTCTACTCTATCTACAGAAAATCTCTAGAGAAATAGATCTTCCTATCAAATTGAATTTTTCGGATCATAACAGTGTTTTCCTTTCCCCTTTTATCTGCACATTGTGAAAATGATGGAATATAAAATAAAGCATTCTGTGATTGTCTTGAAAATGTACTTTGTTGTGATGTTTATTGCTTTATCCAGAATTGAAATAAGACAACTGGTGATTTTTTGTTGTACATTCATGCTAGTTAATCTATTTTTTTTTTTTATCATGGACTACTGTAACCGATGAAGGAATACTTCAAGGAACAATTTGATAGTATTTTTACTGGCTGAATTTGTAGCTTACTTGTTCGAAGATATACTCAGTGGGCAGGCACACAGCTGGCAGTCATCAGCTTTCCCTGTAGTGGCATCTCCATAGAAACCAGGAAGACATCTATCACAATACCGACCACCTGTGTGATGCTTGCAGTTCTAAACAGACAAGGGAAGAAGACACAAAACATCCTTTTTCAGTGCATCATAGAGTACTAAATTTTAAAAGTAATCTAGCATGGTATGGAAATCCCTTAGGTCTCAAATGTATGCTTTGTTTTCGGCAAAGACTTGAAACTTTATACTCATTGCTTATTCCATCTTATAGCTTATTCCCAGCCTGTTTTGCATTCTTGTAACAACTTCATAAACCACGGTAGTCTGAAAACCAATATATGATTCAAGTTCACTTTGAGTGAGTTAGATGGCTGACTGCAGTTGGACTGAGTTTCTCTAGCCTAATATTATAACCATCATCCTCCATATAGAAATTTGAAGTGGCATCTGTTAGATCCCTTCCTTCTCCCTGCCCCGGTAGTTAACTACACTTTTCATTGCCTTAATGAATTCTAATTCATCAACAACCTGGCTCAGGATATATTTCAATAATTATGCTAATTGATAGCATGCATACAACATTCATTAGGGATCAAGAACCAGGGTACTAAGGTCCATGAATGGCTTTGCATGTGCAAGGCAGAATATGCCTTTAGTGTAATATAACCAAATAGCTTATAGCTTGTGCTAGCTATGGAAGAAGTGATCATGCACATTACAATGACACTGTGAATGTATAGTACAACTACAGTATGCAATAGTCTGTTGGAATCAAAGACTTTGCAAATTATTCCAATGTGTATATGAGAGGTAGGCTTTTTCATATAGACCTAGTCTTGATCTGAGATTTTATTATGAATCAAACTGTCAAAGAAACATATTTCAGTTTCTTTTTAACTATATTTCAAAGCCAGGGAAGATTCAAAAGAGGTATCAGTAAATTAGCAGCTTAAATTATCTGTTGTATTACTGAAAAACATGAACAGTAAAGAGAAGGCCAAAAGGCACAATACGACTTAGTTAAGGGGAAAATCACTTTGATGTGGTATGTCTTTTTACCTTTCTCAGTCTTCCTTCTTTCACTTCAAAAGTCTTATGATCCAAATTGAATTGCAGCATTTAATAGCCTGTCTGGGCACCAAGCAATCTTACTTAACTTACAGCCAACAGAAATAGTTTTTCGAGGTTTAGATAGTATGTGGTTTTCTCTGATACAAATTGTGTTTGAAGACTACAGAAAAGAGGACAGAGAAGGGTTGTAAAACTGCAGATAAATATGACACTGCCGATAGATATGGCGCTGAAGATGCTGTATGTTCCTAGTTCCAGTATTTTCCTACCTCAAGGCTGAGGAATTTTGGGAGTTGAAGTCCACAAGTCATAAAAGGGCCAAGTTTGAAGACCCATGTTCTACATGGTTGTACCTAGCAGAGCTGTGTAGCATGAAATGAACAAATAATATGGGAGAGGCAAGGCATGTGAAAAAAATTCAATTTGCAACACTAACCCTAACCCCTGTCTACCTAGTCTTCCCACATTGAATTTATTTGTTGATAACATTAATACACAAAACTAATTCTAAAGTTAAACACTGACCAAATAAACACTTCTTCCCCCCCCCCCCCACCAAAACCCAAGCCACAGAAAAAAAAAGTTTTGGCTTGTACTCCATTTAGGAAAGCAGATTCCAGGTATTTCAGCCTTGCACATTTTACCTTTGTCCAAAGCCACACCTCAATTTATAAAAAAATAATATTTGTTACATTACACTAATGAGTTGCAAAGGGAAATGTAAGAGAAACACTTTTCATAAGATATAGTTAGTCCTGTAAATACTTCTATATTAAATAGAGAATTAATCTGTGAATTATTTCAGGTTCCATTCATGAAAGTACAATTTCAAATGTCCAGCAGTTTAAACTATTTTGTTCAGAACTGCAGAATACACAGGCACTTCGTTCAGAGGGAAAACAGGAAGGACAGCGGCATTTCAAATGCCAGCTTGTGTTGTAAATCCACTGCATTTTTATTTAGCCTTTTCCTTGAAACATTTCCTTGAGAAGAACAACATTGGTTCAAATACGAGAGGGAATCTGGAATATGATATCCCACTCAACTGGCAAAGGCTCAAATTGAATTTCTGCAAGACTAATGAAATGAGAAATGTTGTTTCAAGCTTCATGCCATGTCAGACAATATAAAACTAAAATGCCCTTGAGTTAATCAAAACAGTCTATTCAGCGTAATTCACACAGTCAAAATAAGCTAGTGAGCAGGTTGGAAACACTGGCACTCTGAGTATTATTAGTCTGACTCATAGATGCATTTAATTCTGAATTAGTAGGCAGCTGTAAGATTTATGCATTCAATCAGGAAAAAGCACCTTTCCATGTAGCCTAAGCTATGTGTCCTTTTCAATCATTTTCTTTTGTAAGAATTTTTATGATATTTACTGAGAATTACAATTATACCTGCATGATGTATTACAATAGCAGTTACTAATAATTTGCTACACTGTTCTATATGCAAGTAACTCTCACAACAGAGATTAGAACATTGTACATCAGAAGCTTTTCTAAAGCTTCTAAAGTATTCCCTTTATTTTGGATAAAGACTATCCAAAGGCTATCAGATAAATATCAAAAGCCTTCTTGCTCACCCTTATGAGCAGTAGCTGTTTTATCATGCTGCCAAGAGATTCTCTGATTTCAGAAGCAGTCCATTATAAAGATCTTTCCTATCAAATCACAGCTATTTTTTTTTCTTTGTCAGCATCTCTAACAGGAGTGTGGTGGCCTAGTGGTTAAGACCTTGGGGTGAACTCCTGTTACTTGCCCCTGCTCCTGCCCACCAAGCAGTTTGACTATATGCAAATGCAAGTAGATAAATAGATACCACTTCAGTGTGAAAGTAACTGTATTCCATGCACCTCGGCATATAGTTATAATGATCACATGACCATGGAAGCATCTTCAGACAAAGCTGGCTCCCTTGGCTAGGAAACAGAGATGAGCACTGCCCCCTAGGGTTGGACCCGGCTGAATAGGGGAAACCTTTACTTTTTTTTTTTTTTAGTCAGCATCTCTAAGGAAGTTAATTCAATTGCAACACCATCCTGAGCTGTCAATCAGCACTTACCACACACTCTCCAGTGATATCATCACAGGACTCTGCATGACCAAAACAAGTGCACGGCCTACAGATTCCACCAATGATAGTGCCATTGACTCGCCTGTTTCCTGGCCAGCATGACTAGAAAAAAAAAATAGAATTAAAAAAAATACAATGAAGAATGTTAAAGAAAAATAATGCAAAGTGCCACTAACATATGCAAACAGAAGACACTTGATATTTTATCACCTTAGTATATAGATAAAGACACCAGACATGTGGCATTATATTTCCACTGACCATGGTTTTCTTCCCCTTATCCTTCTTCCAAATCAGTTGTTTTATATCTGAGTGTGTTTTGCAATCTCATCACCCAGCTCTGTTTTGTACTCTTAATTTGCTTTCTTTTTAATAACTTATTTTGATTTAACATTCTATCTATTTCCATGTCCAGAAATACTGCTTGCAACCCAATCTGCGGTACCCCAAAATTTGTACCTTTGTGCATTAATGATTTTCCAAACAAAGGTAAGCAGTCTACATATTGGACAATGTTGGACTTTAGGGTTTAGTGACTTTCACCTAGAGCAGGGGTCCCCAACCCCCAGTCTGTGGACTGACACCGGTCCGTAGCATACCAGAAACCAGTCCGTGCAAACAAGCCCCATCCGGCAGTACCCAAACCCACGCCCCCTCTGGTCCATAGAAAAACCTCTTTCCATGGAACCAGTCCCTGGTGCCCAAAAAGTTGAGGGGCCTTCACCTAGAGAACAGATTTCCTGATTTTGCTGGGAACCATTGGCTGTATTTTCAGAGGCAAAGTAGTCAGCTATATAGACCATAGACTAAGCTGGATTCCTGTCTTTGGAACTAAGTATGCTGAAAACATAGTCCAATATATTAGTCTATATACTCTTCTGGCATGGGTGTTGCTCAGTGGATGGTGTTGCAAGGCATTCAATGGTTCCACTGATATATTGGCTTAAATGCCAGGTAGAGAAAGGGAAAATGACTGACACTCCACCTTTTATTCCTCCCAAGCAATTAGCACATACATTGTTCAGATGTTTTGTACAACTGAGAACTGTTTTGATCCGGAATAAAGGCTGGTGTTGCTAAAACCAAACAAAGAAGCTTGTTTCACTGGTATGATTGTCTACATACTGACCTGAACTGAAAAGGTTGGAGTAAGATTAAAAGAAGTCTTAGCTTGATCTTTCTGCTGAAAAGGCAAAATAAAAGCAGAGAAGTAAAGAATGGAAATAAGATAGCTTGACATATTAATATGCAGATAGAACATAGTTAGAAGGCAAATTATTGAAAAAAGGGGTAAAAGGCAAGAGAAAAGATATTCCATAGCTAAAACATCAGTGCAATTATTTTGGATTAAAGGTTAAAAAAAAAAGAAGCAAATTAGCAGGCAAAAAGAAAGCATAACTCTGATTCCACTCACTTATAGACCTAGTAGAATGGAAAAATTCCACACAGATATGTGCCTGGAAGAATGTTAATATCATGTGTAAAGATTGGTAAACATGTTCTATATAGTAAGCCATGCCACTGTAATTAGAATGTTAATATTTATCCCAGAAATTGGGATAGGATTGTGAGAAATGCAGCTTTCTAATTGCATTTCATTCAAGCATAATATGATTTGGTTATGGTTGATTAGATTGCATGAGCAAAACCATATCATTTATAAACTGTGGTTTAGGACTCAATATACTTTGTAAACTCAGTCAATTTTGTTGACAATTCAGTAAAACCTGGTTAAACTGTTTTATTGTGCGTAGGGTGCCTGTTACACAAAATATCAGCCCCTTATACAGGCATTCAATGTCTTTACAAGAGGGATAAAAGTTATGAGGGCAGTGAACTTTCATAAATGTCAAACTACAAGACTCATCCTACAGGTAGTCCTTGACTTACAACAGTTTGTTTAGTGACCATTTGAAGTTGCAATGGCACTGAAAAGAGTGACTTGTGACCATTTTTCACACTTACGACCGTTTCAGCATCCCCACGGTCATGTGATCAAAATTCAGATGCTTGGCAACTGACTCATATTTACGATGGTTGCCGTGTCCCAGGGTTATGTGATCCACTTTTGCAACTTTCTGACAAGCAAAGTCAGTGGGGAAGACAGAGTCACTTTTAACAACCATACCGCTAACTTAACAACTGCAATGATTCACTTGACAACTGCAACGAGAAAGGTTGTAAAATGGGGCAAAACAAATGTCTCACTAGCAAAAGAAAGTTTGGTCTCAATTGGGGTTATAAGTCAAGAGCTACCTGTATAGGGCGAAGAGGTAAAAGTTCTGAAGTTGTGTTTATTGAAAATATAAGTAGAAATTGATTTAGAACTTCCTACTTGACACACGAACGTCTAGAGCAGGGGTAAGCAACCTTGGCTCTTTTATGACTCATGGATTTCAACTCCCAGAATTCCTGAGCCAGCCTGGCTCAGGAATTCTGGGAGTTGAAGTCCACGAGTTGCCTACCCCTGCTCTAGAGCTAAACGGCCAGGATAGAACCAAATATATATATGCATATGTCCCTTCCACACTCTTAGCCTTCATATGAGGAGGTCATATGAGGAGGTCACTCCAGTGCATTGTTTCTCAACCTTAGCAACATTAAGATGTGTGGACTTCAATTCCCAAAATTTGCCAGCAAGCAGCTTGTTGGCTAGGGAATTCTGGGATTTGAAGTCCACACATTGTAAACATGCTGACTTAAGAAACATTGCTCTAGCGCATGCGTGAAACTGCATCTAAAAGGAAGGGGTTTCCCCCCCCCCCAACAATTGTGATTCAATACCCTATATTATATCTACTGCTTGGGCATTTCTCAGCCAAGGTGACATACTTCAAGTATGAGTTATCAGACAAGCCCCTGACTTTTGCTTGCACTTCACAATATGTTGCCAAACAGCAATTCTTACTATCATATTTTGACTTTTTTTATGGGTTTGAACATGCAGATACAACTGCTTGTAGCTAATATCTTGCTGTTTTTGCATCTTTCTCTGTGTAGGTAGGAAGAGAATTCAGGAAACTAAACATTTACAGATTCTCTAAGACAGGGGTGTCAAACTGCTGGCTCGCAGGCCGGATGTGTCATCGGGAAACCACGCCCACCCCATTGCCGGCAATGGCGAAAAAGCTCCGATACGTTGTGCAATGTCACGTGACGTCACAAGTTTGACATGTCTGCTCTAAGGATTCAAATTGTTCACACAGTGTTATAGAATGATGTCGGAATTTTTCTTATAATCTTTTAATTTCTCTTTTAAATTCTTCACCTCATCAAGTGAAGATTTGCAGTAAATAATTTAATAGAAAATATAACTTACACATGAGAAAAATATAATAATAATGCCATCCAGAATATATATATATATATATATATATATATATATATATATATATATATATATGTAGGTCTTTGGTTGTTTGGGTTTTCTCCCACGTAAAATTGGAAGTGTCTTGGCGACGTTTCGACGAAGTCCCATTCGTCATCTTCCAATTTTACGTGGGAGAAAACCCGAACAACCAAAGACCTACATACAAATACCGCGAAAACCTCAGAAAACAAATATATATATATATATATATATATATATATATATATATATATATATATATATATATATATTCTCCGAGCTTGTGGGTTGATTTCTGAACATTTCATTACCAGGCTAGATATCATCTTCAGCAGAGTTTAGGGGTTGTCAGTGTTCTTCTGTTTATAAGGGCTTCAGGTATGGGGGTGTCAAGTGAGGGTCTGTGATGGGTCTTATGATAGGTCAGGTATGAGTCATCAGTGAGTCTTGTGATGGGTCTTGCGATGGAGAGGTTACATCAGGTGAGGGTCATTGGAGGTGAACTGCTGGTGGGCTTGGATGGGTTGGCTGGTTGAGGGTCAATGCTGTTTCTGGTTGGCTGTGTGGTTGACTTGGATTCTGAGGGGTTTGTAGGCTGGTTGTTGGTCAATATCTCCATTGATGGAATTGCTTGTAGAGTGCCAGGCTTTGATGAACTCGCAAGCATGGTGGGTGGCAGCATGGCCAATGATTTCTGTGTTGCTCCAATCAAACTGGTGCTGTTTGGTGTCAGCGTGGGTAGAGATTAAGGATTTGGGATTATGGTGTTTGCCAATCGGTGTTTGTGGATCTTGGTTTTTAATGGATGTGATGTTTGCCACACATAGAATTGGTGGATTTTGTAAATTACACTTTTTCTTTCATCCTTCTGTATCTTGTCTTTGGTTCTGGATAATTCCTGGCAGAGTGTGGCTGTGAGTTTGTGGGCTATTGCTATTCCTAGGGATTGGAGAATTCTGGCTGTCATTTCCAACACCCCTTTTTTGTCTGGTAGGGTTAGTTTTTGTATGGTGATTGGCTGTGTGGTGGTTTGGGTGCTGTTTGTTGGAATATAAAGCTTTTTGATAGCCATTATGGAGAAAGACATTGAACAACTGTTTCTCTTCTGCTTTTCTTAGTGTTGTGGTGCTGCAGTGTGTCCTGGCCCTTCTGAAGAGGGTCTGGTCACAGCTTCTTTTGTGTGCAGTGGGGTGGTTGCTTGTGAAGCTGGGGATCTGGTCTGTATGCGTGCGTTTGAGGAATGTTGAGCAATGGGAGTCTGTTGTCTGTTTCCTCTTTGTGTGTGAATTTGATCCCGGGGAATATATTACTGAGGAGGTGGTGTGTTTCTTCAATTTGGGAGTGTTTGATGATGACGAAAGTGCAGCATCACAGTCAGGTGATCAAAATTTGGGTACTTGGCAACTGGTTGTAACATTTTGGGATTACACGGTTGCCATCGGTGATCTTCCCAAACAGCTTCCAACAAATAAAGTCAATAGGTGAAGTCACATTCACTTAATGACCAGATGATTTGTTTAAAAACTCCAGCGATTCTCTTAGCAAAAAGGCCATAAAATCCAGTATGACTCATTTCACAATCACCTTGCTTAACAGCAAAAATTCTGCTCCCAATTACGATAATAAGTCGAGGACTATCTGCATCTGTTCAGAGGCCCAGTCCCAGAGAAGAAATGGTGGATGCCCCTCCCACATCTGTTTATTGCCCTGTTTTTCATCTGTATCCCTTCTTTCAAGATACTATAGATATATTTAAAATGGCATCCTTGTTAATAGGGTTCTTTAATTGAGGGCAAAAGAAATCATGAGGAGGAACTGTTCTCAGGGTAAGTATTTTGGTTATTTTGTCCCTTAAATCATAATTCAAAATTTGCTTTGGAGACAGCCAGTAATTGTTTTGGATTTTTTAAAACTGAGGATACAAGACAAACATTATTTTATGTTGCAATATTTCATGTTTTCATATTCGGATGTCTGCTTTTTTTATGCTGTAACAGTTTCATATGGAAGTTCAATGCAAAAAGTAAACAAACAAATAAATAAATAACCAACCATCACCTACATTAGCTGCATTTGCTCAACTGATATTTTTGATCAAACCAGTTTTTTTGAACCTCTACAAAAATCTTCAAAATTTATTATCAGCCTTTTATAGGTTGCCTTTATATTTATAATAAGGGAAAGAAGTGAATATATCAGCTATCAGAATCAAGGCTCCATGACCTAAATAACATATATAAAATCATGGTGCTTTAAAAGAAGGGAGCTGACAAGTAAATGCTTAGAGTGCTTGTATAAAGGACACCTTGTTTATAGTATTGTGAAACAGAACATCTTTGTGCTTTAAAATGCTTCCTTAGAGGCTTAGTTTTCAAAAAAATTTGCATTTAAAAGCTCCACCAGCAAAGCCTTGACATGTTAGTTAAGCATACATGCACTCACTCCAAATATAGGCTAGATAATATTTGGTTGAAAATATTCAGATTTTACATATATAACTTTCAACAAGACTGCATCTTCTAAACTGTTGAATCAATCATCCCAGGGGGGAAATGTGTGTGTGTGTATTTGTGTATGTATGCATGTGTAGAAAGGGGAGAAGACAATCATACCATCTGTATGAAAAGCACTGTATATCATCTCTGTATATCATCTCAAGCACGAATGTGTTACTTTGCTTTGGAATACTAAAAGATATCACATATTTTGATTGACTATCTAGAGTTTTTAAATATAATGACAAAGTGCCCACTTTGCTTTGGAATACTAAAAGATATCACATATTTTGATTGACTATCTAGAGTTTTTAAATATAATGACAAAGTGATTAAGCCCAAAGGACTGTTTAATGACTGCATGTTATGAACATTATATAAAATTATACAAAATACAATTCTATGAACATCAGTTCAGAAGTCACCCGAAGGTGTTTCCAGACAAGTGGGCATAAAGAGTGCTACTCTGTGAATGAAAATATGAACTCAGATATATTTGTGTTAAAATATAATATAATCATATGTAAAGTTATTTACAAATATAACGGACTAAAGAAAGATTTCAGTTTTTTTAACTGAGCTAAAAATACCCAATTGTATTTACAATTGTGTAATTCTGAGTTTTAGAAATACAATGTTAAATGAAATAGTCCAAAGATTGAATATGATTATCATATTATCAACTAGATTTGAATGCTGTGGTAAATCAAAGTTAATTAAAACAGAAACAAACACTTTTTAAAGCTCTTCATTACAGTTCTATGGAGGAAAGAAAAGGTGGAATATGATGATTCATAGAAAACAATGCCGTTCAAGAGTATATACCTCTAAACAGTGCTTTTATTCTAAAAAAAAAAAAAAAAAAGGTGCCGGAACTCACACACGTCATACAACCCGCCTTGCCTACCCTACAAGGTTCCATCCAAAAAAGGTGCCGGAACTCCGTTCTGGGCGTTCTATGAGAAAAAAAGCCCTGCCTCTAAGCATCATGAACTTTATGGCCATGCCAAAATGATTTGCATTTTTGGAATGATTAGGAAGGAGGGGGCTTTGGTACCTAAGGGTGGTGCCTGCTTGGCATTTGCCTAAAGTCAGTCAGTGCCCCCTAAGCCCTAGGGTGATGGCTGCTTGGCATTCACCTAAAGTCAGGGAGGTTTAACTTGTTTCTATTGCCATCACCCATAGCTTATTCTGATATTCTTGTCCTACCACATAGATATGCACATAATTTGTGCATATTTGTGGTCTACTTGAAAGAGATTGCTTTTTTCAATCAATCCTATATTTACTGTTCGAGAAATCATTCAGCTGCTTTATATTAAGATACTTACTTCACAGGAGGAACCAGAATATCCTGTAGGACATTGGCAAATTTCAACAGCACATGCATCTTTTTGTCCAGTCCGTAAGTCGTCAGCAGATTCCAGGCTGACACCACTCAACCTAATATATAAGGATAAAGTAGAGGAAATGCTAGTGATTAGAAAGGTAACATTGTACGGTATTTATAATATTTGCTATGCTAGACTGGGTGCAAGTAGGGAGGACTGATCATGTATTTTAGTTAAAAGTAAAATGTGTTTTCCAAAAATTGGTAGTAGTCATGTTTAGACTACAAATAATCCTTGACTTACCACAGTTAGCATCGTGACTTATGACCATTTTTCATACTTATGACCATTGCAGCTTCTCCATAGACACGTGATTTACATTAGGATGTGTGACAACTGACTCACCTTTATGACGGTTGCAGTTCCTGGGGTCATGTGATCCCCTTTTGTAACCTTCTGACAGGCAAAGTCAATGGGGAAACCAGATTTACTTAACAACCGTGTTACTAATTTAGCAAATGCAGTGATTCACTTAACAAATGTGGCAAGAAAAGTCATATAATGGAGAAAAACCAACTTAAAAAATTTCTTGCTTAACAACATAAATTTTGGTCGTACGTTGAGGACTATCTGCATAGCATAGCAAATCCACATTAGAACATTGTCACACAAATGTTAGTAGCCATAGGAAAACTGCTAAGTTTGTAAATTGCACGTTTTACTTATGCTGCAGGCAGACCAAGAATTAGGCTGACTGAGAAACTGACAAACACATCTTCTTTTCCTACTGAAAAGTAATGGAATCTTAAATTAGATTTATAGATTTGACATTACTTCAAAATATGTTTTACTTTGGAAAAATGATGTTATAGAAAAAAATACTTATTCTAAAGTGAATTGCTTTTCTTTACAAGATTCTATACACTAATCAATAGAAGGACAGAGATAAAAAAAGCATTTCTCTCTATTATACAAGAGATTTTTCATAGTCTTGTCCCAATACTGTAATAAAGATTTGATAAGCACTGTATGCTGTAGCATGAACACATGAAGAAGCCAGTCTAGACTAGAGGAAATCTAACCAGGTGGTTGCTGAAAGTCAGCAATGACTTCATGACCTCATGGTGCACAATCAATCAATCACTAGGTGAACTTTTTTTTGTTAAAAGTTTTACAAATTACAATATAACCCCCCCTCCCCTCCCCCCTCCCCTATTTCTGATTACAGGGTAACAAATAAACAAACATAATCTAGCTAACATAAACCAACTAAACTATCAATCAAAACCATAACACACTTTAACTCCTTCTCAAAACAAATGTTAACAAATTAAAACAATAATAATAATACAATTAATACTATTAATAATTATCTAAAATCTACTCAAAAGCAAGGTAATACTTTTTAATTTCATACTTCTTCTGAATATAATCAATCCATCTTCTCCAAACCATAATATATCTTTCTTGTGAATGGTCCTTCAAATAGGCGGAGATTTTCTCCATTTCTGCTAAATTAGACACTTTAAGTATCCATTCTTCCAGAGTAGGCAATAAGTTTTTCTTCCAATATTGCCCCACCAATAATCTTGCAGCAGTTATAAGGTTAATCACTAGGTGAACTTAAGGGGCTAGGAGTGGGACGGGGATTAAAACATGTGGATTTTTAACTGTGGATTTTTAATGCTGTTATGTCCCCAGAGTCACTATGTGTAAGTTGGACAGCTATATAAATCTGTTCAATAAATAATCTTGTGCAACTCTAGAACCCACAAAAAAGTTGTCCACCATAGGAGATATGGATAGACAGACAGACAGACACATGGATGATAGATCTTGTTTTGAAATATCCATCCATCCATCATCCATGTACATTAGGAATATTATTCACAATCCAATGAAAATCTGAGCATACTTCATCACATTCAAGTCAGTAAACTTTAACTAGCAGAAGTAAGTGTTAAGGAAGCAATCCCAGATACATTTATTTGGATGTAAATTGTGCTCAGGTAAGATTTTTGTTTAGGAGTTTTAATAAGAAAGAACTAAAGAAAGTTTTGTAGGGCTATTTACACTGAACTAATTTAGGTGAACATGTACGAAAGCTAAGAAATATTGGGACCAGATTTGTACTTTAATTCAGAGAAATCTTAAAATAAATGTACAATCGAAACTAGGTGTTTTTCTTCTAGGTTTGATGGACAAACAGATTGAAAAAAATACAGGACTTTACTTTTATACATGATAACAGAAGCAACACTTTTATATCACAGAGATGGAAGAATTCATAAAATCCCACAATGGAAGAATAGATTGTGTAGTTAATGGAGTGGGGAGAAATGAAGAAATTGACTGCTTTGATTAAAGAAAGGAGTTTATTTGGATTTCTTTCTACTTGGACAACTTTTGAACTTTTTGCTTGAAACTGAAAGAAATGAAATTTTAACTTTGGAATTTGACGATTAGACTTTTTTATGATTACAATAGTACTGTGTGTTATGGTTAATCTTAGAGCAAAAGCTTATAGTATTTTACACTATCTGTACCAAAGAAAATAAGAAGTTATTCTTTTATTCTTTTCTAAAAAAAATTCTCCTTTTTTCTCCACTTCCAATTTTGCTTGATCCTTGACCCCCCCTTTTTTTTATACTTTTCCCCTTTTTCAGATTAACAAAATAACAGAGTTGGAAGGGACCTCGAAGGTCTTCTAGTCCACCCTCCCCTGCTCAAGTAGGAAACTATACCATTTCAGACAAATAGTTGTCCAATCTCTTCTTAAAAACTTCCAGTGTAGTTCCTTGCATTTTATCTTGTTCTGAAACTTAATGTTTTGAAAAAAAAACTTACCCTGAACTCAAACTTATTTTTATAGATAAGCGCTGCCTTGACTACCTTATCAAAATCAAAATTAGCTAATATATCAAATATTTATTGATAAAGGATTTAAAGAAAAAGAAACTAATTTATCTAAATTGGTACAACTTCATAAAAAAACTAGTAGATTTACCAGTAATTACTGTAATATATTTTTAAATTCTAATTTGCTACCCAAGCCTGAATATAAAATTTCTTTGCATCTTAACCAGTGTCTCTGGGAGCATTGTTAAGTAGTTAATTTTTGTGATTCTTTACATAATCCCATGCTCCCAGTAGAAAATCTTTTAATCTGACCCTGATCTTCTAACTACCATTAGCAAGAGACTCTCCTCAGGGTGAAGTATCATTCCACACGCTAAGGAAGCTGAGAGGAGAAAAATTAGCAACATTTTTATTTTAAAAAGTGTAACCTGGTGAAACATTCTGATGCCTGGAGGATCCCTGTATTGTGTGAGTTTATTTATTTATTAAATAGATTTATATGGTCACACAACGCACACATGGTAGGATACAGCATTAAAGTATGTGTGTATATATGTGTGTGTGTATAAAATGATGATAACCTGGTGCATTGTAGATCAAAGGGTGTAATTTTATTCTCAAGAATGCCTTGGTTATTTTATTATGAAGTTTTTTTGTTTTTTTTTTAGAAAATACAAAGGGTAATGGCTGTGGTCCAATGCTTTGCTTTGAAGTATGCCTCACAGCCCAGAAGGATAATGGTAAGTAGGGACAAACGCAAATATTTTATGGGAAGTTTTATGCCCCATGACAACTATTTGATGACTGGGTAGCTCTTCCACTGAGTAACTTACAAAATATCTACAAACTGGTTTCAAAATTTCAGGTTCCTAAAGCTTGTGGGGAGGGAGGTTAGTTGTCTATATTTCCTACAGGCCACTGAGAAATAAACTCATCTGAGAAGTCATTACGTCACACAGTATCTCTGGCTCCCTATTTCTTGGGCAGTATTTAGATATAATAATAATAATAATAATAATAATAATAATAATGATGATGATGATGATGATGATGATGATGGTGGTGGTGGTGGTGATGGTGATGATGATGATGATGTTGGAAGATACCTTGGAGGTCATCTAGTCCAACCCCCTGCTCAGGCAGGAAACGCTATACCATTTTGGACAAATGGCTGTCCAGTCTCTTCTTAAAATCTTCCAGTGTTGGAGCATTCACCACTTCTGGAGGCAGGTTGTTCCACTGGCTAATTATCCTAACTTCTCAGGAAATTTCTCCTTAGTTCTAGATTGCTTCTCTCCTTGATTAGTTTCCATTTGTTGCTTCTTGTCCTGCCTTCAGGCACTTTGGAAAATAGCTTGACTCCCTCTTCTTTGTGGCAGCCCCTGAGATATTGGAACACTGCTATCATGTCCCCCCTTGTCCTTCTCTTCATTAAACTAGACATATCCAATTCCAGCAACCGTTCCTTATATGCTTTAGCTCCAGTCCCCAAATATGCAAGGAAGCAACCTTTTTGACAAAAAGTCTGTTAGATGTCTAGTTTTACATACTTTAGTATATATGGAATTTTGTAAAGCTAGAGTCAATGAAGATTTGCCTGAATTTCTTTTTGAGAAATGCAGTCTAGAAGGAGTACATACATTTTTAAAATCATTTATATCTTGACTTCACTTTTCATGCTACCCAAAGCACTTTTCCAATAACAGAGATAGTCTAACATGTACTACCCATTCCAGAAATCCATTATTCATATTTAAGATGTTGTCCTTGTACTATATTCCCATTGTTAAGTTTTCATTTAAAATGACGCAGAAGAAATATTTTTAAACATACACTAAGATTTGTTAAGGCCAAGAATAAATCTAAAGAACTTAATATCTACACATAACAAAATTTACTGGTATTTTTACTAAACTATTTACCTACTGAAGCACAGATTGTCTTTTCTTAGTGCTATATAATATAATTTGGAGCAATGAGAAACAGTTACACACAGAACATTTCACTCAGAATTATTCCACATTTGTATTCACTGAACAGCCCCAATTTTCATTAGGTTCTGCTATTTGGTAAATGGTATTTTAATGTGTTTAACAGTTTTTATTCATTGAAAAAAGCTGCAGTGCAATTTTTCCCCACTTCAATGTAGTAATTTCTATTCCTCTATGTCGTTCAGCAAACATTAAAGTACATAATGTTGGCAGTAATGGGATACCGGATCTTGGAGATACTTGAGAAATTCAAGTATCTAGACCAAATATTTAATATGATTGCTAGCGTGGCAGACACTGTTGACTTCTAAATGCAAACGAGATTAAACAAGATGCAGCTTTTGAAACAATAGTAGTGCAGTTTACGGTCTGCTATTACATTAATTGTTGTATCCTGAGATTAAAAAGGAAGGAAGGAAATCACCAGCACCATATGATACTATTGGAAAGCTTGTAGGTCACACATTGTCTCCATTTCACGCAACATTATTCCCTAGTTGAATTCACTGAGTGGTTTCAATTCTCCTTAAGTACTGAAATCTAAACATGAGCTACAAAGCTACTACTGACCTTTTAAACTTTGAAAATGGACTTTTTTCAGCCTATCCTACAAGTGGTAGAAACTTGCTCACTGCCTAATTGCCTCTGAAAGACCCAGGCCAGAGAAAGCATGACTTGGTCATGACAGTAAAGCATTTTCTCTTTAAAAATGTGTTGCCTTTTTGAACAATTCTCACAATTACGAATATGCATTTCAGTGCATTTTAATATGCTTTGATGATTTATCAGCATGTTTTTAACAAAGACCACTGATACCCATTTTAATGATGATTACACTTGGGGCTCCAAAAGATAGAGTGGTCATCATCTGATGCACGTTGATAAAGCAGCAAAGACAGACAGATAATCCTGGACTTTAACTATGTATTTAGTGACAGTTCAAAATTATAACAGCTCTTTAAAAAAGTAACTTATGACCGGTCCTCACATTTTATGACCATCATAGTATCCCCGTGGTCATCTAAACAAAATCTGGACACTTGGCAACTGTGAGACACTTACGATCATTGCAGTATCCTGAGATCATGTGATTGCCATTTGTGTACTTCCCAGCCAGTTTCCAACAAGCAAAGTCAATAGGAGAAGTCAAATTCACTTAACGATCATGAGATTCACTTAATAACTGTAGTGATTTGCTTAACAACCATGACATGAAAGATTGTAAATTGGACATGGCTCAGTTAACAATTGCCTTGCTTAGCGATGGAAATTTTGCCCCCAATTACGGCTAAAGTTGAGAATTCTCTATATGAAGGAACTACAGTATGTCTGATCTCCCAGACTGAGATGGGAGCCTTCTCCATGTTTTATATTCATCATCTTCTCCATGTTTCTATTATGCCCTAGGCTAAAGTTTCAGAATAAGAAAAACATGAACATATAATTGGATGTATATCAAGGTAATGTCTGCTGTTCTCATCGCCAACTCTCTCTATTGAATATGCTGTTTGTGCAGGAATCTACCAATGCGCAGGTCTCACAATGTGTATTGTAGTGGAAAAAATGATGGGGTTGATGGCAAAGGTCTAGTAAAAAAGATTTTCAAACTTCATGGACAACAAAATTTAAGGATAATAATAAAATACCTGGAACTATTGCTGCCTGCTTCACATGCACATAATATGATGTTTCTTCATGAGCACAAACACTTCCTGGGGAAAGGAAGGTTTCTGAAAGTCAGCAGACAGGCTTCCTATAGAAAATAGTTGCATTAAAATAGTATTGTGGGGGTGAGTGGGTTTCCTTCTTAGTTTTTCATGGAATTCTGTCAAGTTCTGGGACCCTGGATTTAGAGGAACACTGAAAACTCCCGATCTAGTGCGTGGCTCCTAGCTGTGTCAGAATATTAATAAAAAAATGGACCTCAGAATGGAAGTAGCCCCCACTCCAATCTTATTCAATTTTTTTCCATTTTGAACATTAGTATAGGACAACAAAATAGAATGACACATGTACTTTTATTTACAATATAGGTGATTGCTCTGGATACCTGTAGAATAGCAATCTTTATTTGTGTGGATGACTTTCTACCTACAAGTGAAAAAAATATGACCTCAGAATGGAAAGAAAAAGAAAGAATTGACAGTAATCAAATGAAACTGCTTTAAGGAGAGTTGTGTTGTTACGGAAAAGTAACATTCTAGTCGATGTACCTGGACTCACTAAGCCTTAGCTACAGATACAGAAACCTCAAATAGGTCTACTCTTAAAGGGAAAAGTTGGTCTCATCAAACAAAGCCCATTACTGACACTACTACCATGTTTCCCTGAAAATAAGACCGGGTCTTATTTATTTATTTATTTATTTATTGCCTTCAAAAGAGGCACCAGATCTTATTTTCGGGGATATCTTTTATACTCACCTCCAGCAACAACAGCCCGCCCAGCTAGACTACTTCTTCTGTGGCTGAAGGAGCAGCGTCATTCTGCAGCTGCATTCCGGCCTGCATTTCACAGTCAGGCCTTTCCAGAAGGCCTCTGCAGCCAAGTATCGAGCTATGGATTCAATCTATAGCTCGGTTCTCGGCTGCGGTGGCCTTCTGGAAAGGCTTGTGACTGAGAAATGCAGGCCTGGCTACAGAAGACGCCACAGAAAAAGTGGGCCGGTGAGGAATGGCCTGGCTGCAAGGTTAAGTGGGTGCAGGACATGTGGGGCAGCTCCTATCCTAGGTTAATTTTTAGGTGTGTGCCTCGCCCCAAAACTAGGCCTTAGTTTTAGGGTAGGGCTTATATTAGGCCCACCCCCAAAATCAAGCTAGGGTTTATTTTCAGGGTAGGTCTTACTTTTGGGAAAACGTGGTATCGACAGAATAAAAAAGATAACACTGGCATAAAATTGGATTATTTTTAAAGGAGGCTTTTGAAAAATAAGAAAGAGGTAAAACAATTTATGTATTGAGGAAGCCAATACCATGCAGAAGAGAAGAAAAACAAGGAACAGAAGGAGAGATGACTGAAGGATCAAAGACCTTGATATGAGTAAAGCTAGAAGAGATGTAGTAGAGAAGGCTCAAGAGGAATACACAAAGAAATAAGATAAGCAATGAGAGGTTAAGGCAAAGCTATGAAGAAACCTAGGAGCTGAGTAGTTTGTATTCATACTGAAATGATAGGCTAACATAACAACCTATTACAGTTTTAAATTTCTTTCTCTAAATTTCTTACTATCCAGTTTTAGTTTTGCACATTTTAAAAAAAAAAACAAGTCTATTAATACAAAAATGCAAATTGGAAGTGAAAGTACATGCAAAATTCACTGTGAAAAAAAAATAGATAACTAAATATATATAGCAAGAAAAATCCACACAAAATGTATTCATTTTTAGACTTATTATACTATTATTTTATCTCAACTGCCAGGTATGTATTTATTTTCTGCTCTTGTTACTTTCAATTGTTTTAATAGCTCAAAATCATTCAATGAGATGGCAGCTGTATAATTGAATAAAATTACAAATGCTTTCAGAAAAGCCATTTTTTTTTTAAAAAAATGGATGATGCTTAAACTCATATAAACTTACACTGTGTTCATTTATATCGCAATGACATCAGTGGCCCTTAATTTTTAATAAAATTGTCTACAATTATACAAAGGAATTAGTATTTCTATGTCATTTTTTTCTTAACATGACAGTTACTAATAATATATGTTGGCTCTAAACCCAGCATGCTTAACTGAGTCAATGAGAATATAAGTGTATTGTTGAAGCACCAAAAACAGTTCAGTTAATTCAATCAACAAATCTGTAGGGTGCTAAAGTTAACCCCAAGCAGGCCCAATCATGTATAGGTAGTCCTCGATCTACGGCCACAACTGAGCCCAAAATTTATGTTGCTAAGTGAGACATTTGTTAAGTGAGTTTTGCCCCATTTTACGACCTTTCTTGCCACAGTTGTTAAGTGAATCATTGCAGTTATTAAGTTAATAACACGGTTCTTAAGTGAAGCTGGCTTCCCCACTGTGCTGGTCAAAACGTCGCAAAATGTGATCACATGCAACTATTATAAATATGAACCAATTGACAAGCATCTGAATTTAGATCACGTGATGTGGGGATGTTCTGGCGATTGTGTGAAAAACAGTCATAAGTCACTATTTTTCAGTGCTGTTATAACTTTGAATGATCACTAAGCGAACTGTTGTAAGTTGAGGATAGCCTGTACAGGGTTAAACTAATTCCACAGATCAGTCACTTTGTGAAGAAACCTAAATCCGGTCAATTGATCTGTTTTGCCTGCCTTGACCCCACCCCCTCGAATCCCCAGCAGTTGGGAAAGTATGGTTGTCCATGAATCCTGAAGGCATCGTCCACACCTCTGACCACAATTGCTCAGCAACACTTTCTTGCTCCTATACAACCAGTGGGGAAGAATCTAGTAGCATTATGAAGCCTTACCAGCACTTACATAGTTTAAGGATTCAGAGATGCCACCTCTGAGTGGCATTTCAAATGGTAATTCGATTATACGATCTCACTTGGTTAGTGGATGATTGGATTAGGCATTTTATGAGAACAGAGTTACTGTGTATTATTTACTCTATTTACATCCTTTAATTACAAAGCTGAATAATCCATAGATTCATATGTTGCATGATAAACAGCATATTTATTTATTATGGTGGTCTGTTGAGTCATTATTAGTCTAGTTTATCTCTTATCTCTAGATTAACGATGTTAGTTGGAGATGATTTTTAAACATTTATGAAATACAAAGTGAGCAATATTGCCCTATGATATAAAATTGTCTGACATAAAGGCAAGTAAGACAGAAAATATAATCTACTTCTGCCAGCCCCGAATGGTAGAATTTCACCAATCTTCAGAGAGAACAAAATGCCTTTTCAATAGTTACCTGTAGATGGCATTCATCCCATTGCTATATGTGGCTCTTATAAGGAGTCTTTTTATATTCGCCAAAACAGTCATAAATTCCCTTTTGCTGACTGGGATGCCGTTCAGCATGAATAAGTTGTGCTTCAGTATGACTTCTTCTGTGTGCTCTTCAAATGGGTTTAAGTGAATCCCTTCCTGTGATGTGCTTATTCTCAACCCACTTCCCTAATTGTAAGAAATGACACAGGCAAATATTTAAAAAAGCAAATTTCAACACTGCATTACTAGAGAGCAGAACACCTTGATATAAATGTGTACTACATAGTGTGTTTCATTTAGATGATTATTCTCTAGAAACAATACCACTGTCTCTAGGAAAACATGGTCAACAATGGAAAAAGGCAAATCAGATCATCTATAGGAAATCGGGTGACATATTTATATTTTTCATGAACGTACAGTAGATAGAATTCTGTCCGGCATTCATTATCAGTGGTTTAGAGGTATCATAAAATTAAATAAAGACATATAAGCATTATATGCTACCTCCAGAGTATACAATTCAGATAACTTTTATATTATGCCTTAATAGTAATTCTATGCAGAGGTTGGAAGGAATACTTTGATTCAATAAAGGTTTGTGTGATGAACCTCCTTAAAACAGTTTTGTAAAGCAAAGCATACGTGTGCAAACACATACACTTCAACTAAATAAAATAGCTACACTGCTCTATTTTGAATGGTCTTCTAATGTAGCCTATAGACATGAGCTGAAACCTCTTCTGGGTATTGGAAGAGCCTTTGAGCATCTTGCTGAGACAAAGCTAAGTTGCATCAGAGGAATAATGTCATTTAAAAAGAATGGGCTTCATTTGCAATAAGTGCCTCTATTAAGTGCCATTTCTGTATGTTATTACACACACAGTTTGTATGCATCTGTCTAAAATAAATAGAATTTAACACGATTACCTAAAATAGTAGCCCAAGTGTTGCTGTGATTATCATGTTCTGGAATATTACTTAGCGTTATGCAATCCCTTTCCTTACCATCCAAAGATAACACTTAGCCTACATAGACATGGCTATATTTGCATGCATCTGTCCTAATACTCTACATTTAAATCAAACTTTGGATGGCTCAGATTCTAATATATACATTTTATAAAACTAACAAATTTTCTAGAACATGTAAATCATTGTTCAGATAGACACAGCCAGACCTGGGCTGGTCTTTGAGGTAATCATCTTACATTTTATTTATTTTAGACAGATACACGCAAACTGTGTATATAATAACATAAAAATGATGACATGGTGTAACATGCTATATGTTGTTGTTCATCTGAGGTTGTATTTACCTTCTTTTAAGAACTGCTAAGGACCAGATGATTTTTTTTCACCTAATTCTGATACTTAAAACTATAGAATTCAAAGAGAGTGTATTTATTTTTTCACATGACTGTGTGTATATGTATTTATTTATGTATGTACACGTATGTATGTGTGTGTGTGTGTGTTATTGTATATAACAATATATATAAACAATAAAACAAGCACACCCCTCCCATGCCAATCTCATCCAGCTCTTGAAGGAAAAGTCAGGTCTTAAGTACTTTTCAGAAGATAAAAAGGGTAGGGTCTGCTGACTCTCAAGGGGAAGGCTATTTCTGCTGCTCTTTTCTCCATCTTTCAAATAAAAAAAAGTCATATGGTAGCTCTTTTCGGGAAGAGAACTCTTGCAACGAGTTTCTTTCTCAGCTCTTATGGATTCTGTTTACAGTGTGCTGTTGGCAGTTTACCCATTTATATCCAGTGAGATAATACACTACCTCTATGATGACATCAGACTGAAGGACAGCCTCAGCAATATCTTCTTCCCCAGCGAGGTCATATGAAACAGTAAATTTCAGATGTCCTCCAGCAGCTGTTATCTGTGGTAAAGGGAGAAAAAAAAAAGAGAATGATACTGGTTATATAATAGAAAACATGCCTTTAACCATTTTGAACTACTCTTTTCCAATTATAGGACCTTCAAGGGCAAAGGCTTCTCGTGTAATGAAAGGACATGTGGATGATAGAGAGCTCCAAGGGAAGTGTCATTGTGAACTGTCCCTGTCCTTACACAATCTCTCTTTGCCACAACCAGTGCAGCAATGCTCTGTATAAGTAATGTTCCTCTAGACCTTTGTAAAGACTGGAATCCTAAGAAAATGTGGTTTTCCCCTAAAGGTCTGTCACAAAGGAAATAACATATGTTACCGTATAATTTTCTTTTCATCTTTCTCTCTCTGTCTCTGGCTTCTTACACTCTATTTTTATGTTAAAAAAACCCAACATGTATTTGGCTGATATTAAATTGTCAAAAGCAGGTGGAGGAACTGGGGTTTTGTGCTCATTTATCTGTCCTGCCTCTCTTAGTTTCTTCCCCATGTCCATTTTCCAGGTACAGAGTTACTACAGAGGCAATCTTTGACAGCAGCTTGGAGGAGTAGGCTGCTATTACAGAATGTTTTTTTTCCTCTTTTTGACAAAGTATAATCTAAAATAGAATAAATGTGTCCCTAGGAAGTCAACCGCATTTAATTTAAAAGAAAGTCACCATAATTTTTCTTATAGCTGTATGTTGCCTTTTGCTTCACATTTGGTCACTGCATAAGGTCCTTTGACTCTTAAGGTACTATAATGTTACATCTCTATTTTTTGTTAAGTATTTACACTTTACTGATTGTGTTTGGTCTAGTGGTTAAGGCACCAGGCTATAAATAGGGAGACTGTTGAGTCCTGCCTTAGCCATAAAAGATCAAGTGATGACTTTGCTCCCCCCCTCTCCCTCCCTCCCTCCCTCTCTCTCTCTCTCTGACCCACCTCACCTCATGGGATTGTTGTGGAGAAAATAAGAGGAAGAGGGTGTATTGGATAGGTTTTCTACCTTGAGTTATTTATAAAAACAATAAAATAAAAACAAATACAATTCCAGGGAAAAAGCCAACAAATTACATATTAAATTATGTATAAGAAATGCAATAATTTTGCTTAATTCCTTGAACAAAAAGGATTTCATTTTTAAATTTTTGGAATAAAGCAAATTTCATAGTCACATATAAACAAAGAATCAGAGAATCAGAAAGCCCCTTCCATCCACTATGTAATTATGCAGCAAGTTCTCCACATAGTTCCTCCCCAGAGTTGGTTAAGGAAATTCTCATATTTTTGTTTAATAATACATTTGTGTGATCTGTCAAAATATATGGGAGGTTGAAATACATAGAATGTGTTAACACCCATTCTTCTTGATTCATATATTTCATACAAAATAATATACCTTCAGTGAAAAAGTAGGGAAAGCTACATTTGCACAAGCTACATGCCAAAGATATGTATATTATGGTAAGTAGCATATAACAAATGCTTTTTACTAGACCTGCAACGGAAGAATATGTATTAGGAAACTAAATTTGGGTCTGGTCACCCAGAGAAGGTGATGAGATTTCAAAGATGACTTCTGGGCCATTATCCTACTAGTCTTCTGTACCTATGTAATGTTTTGCACCCCTATAATAATGGGGACAGGCCTAAATGTTGATAGATGATGCTGAAGAATTGTATAAGTGACCAGTCACTGCTTGAGATTGCCCTAAAGAGACTCAGTACAGAAGCTGTGTTAAGAGTGATGACTTACAGCTGAATTTTAATCATAGCAAACAGCTTTAATGACTGCCACACTTGGTATCTGAGCTAGAGATACGGTACACCAAGAAACCTACTTAGATAACCTACAACTAACTTTGATCAATGGCTTCTGTTAAGCATCATTAACCACAAGAGATCTCAAAGCCATTTTAAGCAGGTCTGAAGAAGTACAGTAAACTATTACATATGCCAGTATACATATGCCCGATATATAGATATTGAGCATGTCTGTCTGTCTGTCTATCTACACGTACATGGATACATTTGGTTTAAAACCTCAGTCTATCATCTAATGGTATATTGACATACATGATTAAAATACAATGAAGCTAATGAATAATGCAATTTATCTAGAAAAGTATCTAGAAAACCTCCAACTTCCCTTCCAATGCTATTATTCTGTTATTCTGAATATAGATTAACAGAGTTGGAAGAGACCTTGGAGATCTTCTTGTCTAGCCCCCTGCTTAAGCAGGAAGCTGTATACCATATCACTCAAATGGCTGTTCAGTCTCTTCTTAAGAACCTCCATTGATGGAGCACCCACAACTTCTGAAGGTAACCCGTTTCACTGACAGATTGTTGGGTTAAGACATTTCTCTTTAACTGTGCCATCTGCTTCTGCAACTTAGCTTCCATTTGTATGAAAAAGGGGATGGAGTAAGCCATTGATTTGGGGCTGGTGCCTGAGCCTTTTGAATTTTAATATTTATGGAAGAAGGAAAACAACAGTATGGGCAAGTAGGATGTGCAGCAGGCATTCCATTCTCTCTCTCTCTCTCTCTCTCTCTCTCTCCCCCTCCCTCCCTCTCTCTCTCTCTCTCTCTCTCTCTCTCTCTCTCTCTCTCTCTCTCTCCCTAGCCAGAGTTTCTCTCCATCTCAGTTTACCCTAAGCAGTGAAGTCTTTTTAGTCGGTATCTGTGCCATCAAAAGTGTGTGATTTTCATTTTGCTTTGCTTTTCATATTTGCTGCATATTGTAGACCTCTTGCTGTTCACATCCTCTAGGGGCCAATGACCCATAGCTTGAGGCCCTCTGGATTAGCACTTATTTGATAGGATTTTTACTAGAAGTCTAAGAATATTAATATGAAATACATAAAACCTATGCTCTTTGCTTCTGTTACCCCAAGCTTACATTTCAAATATCACAATACACCGGTTGTTTTAGAGCCTCTAATTTTTGACCTTCTCAAAGGAAATGCGATAATTGAAGAAAGCAGCAGTAATGTTAAAATTGATACATTCTGCAATGTCAGGCATTCCATTAAGCACAATGCAGAAAAGTGTTTATCCTTCATTTTCAAATGTATGATTCTGTGTTGAGTAAAAATGTGTGACAATCAGAGTTTGCTTTGGTGAGATAATAAAAATCGATTAAATAAACACAATATCCTAGAACAAGTTCAGATTGCTGATATAACAAAACTGAATACAGCTGTGAACTGTGTAAAGATTTCTAACATTGATTCTTGTGCATGAATTGCCAATATATGTGCACACGCTTTAACAACAGTTTGGTGAAGGTGTTTGAACTTGTGAGTTGACTTTGAGAATTCTCACACCACTATGAATCCCAGAGCACTTGTATCTCAGCGGAGTTCTTCCTTTGGGCCAACCACAAGGCCTGGCAAGAGAAGAAGAAAAACATATGTGCAAACTAATGCAAGAATTTTCTATATTGCTATATAGGTAGTCTTTGACTTACAACAGTGTGTTTAGTGATTGTTCGAGGTTACAAAGGCATTGAAAAAAGTGATTTATGACCGTTTTTCACACTCATGACCATTTGCAGCAGCATCCCCTTGGTCACTTAATCAAATTTTAGAACTGGTTCATATTTTATGATGGCCGCAGTGTCATGTGATCACTTTTTGTGACCTTCTGACAAGCCAAGTCAACGGGGGAGCCAAACTCAGTTAACAACTGTGTTGTTAACTTAACAACTGCAGTGATTCACTACTATGACAAGAAAGGTCATAAAGTGCGGCAAAATTCACTTAACAACTGCTTTGCTTAGCAACAGAAAAGTTAGGTTCAGTTGTGGTCGTAAATTGAGGATTACCTGTATTTAATTTGATATCCTGGAGTTCAAGACAACTTAGAACTGGATATTTGAGGAAGATCTTCAGAAAAATGAATGTAGACTGTGCAAAGTACTGTCAGTGTCAGCTGGGACTTTCCCAAGAATGAAGGAATGGCTGAATTAACCCCTGCTCTGTAAAAGATGGAGTTATAGAGGGATCTAACCTATATCTTTTCTTGAACCTACAACTACAACCTACAACTATAAGATTAGAGGTAAATTGCATGATCTCCTCTATGGAATAAACCTCTCCTGATGAGGCATGTGTAGATAGTTTGGGATGCCTCTGGAGATGGGAAGCTGGGGGAAGGAGGTGCCCCCCTTCAGGTGAGTCAGTTAGGGAAGATGACAGACTAAAAGAGGAAGACATCTTAAGAGCCAGAAGCTTTTGGCAGCTGGACACCATTCTTCTCTATTTATCACATACTTAATTGTATGGTTTCTGCTCTGGTGATATGGTTAAGTATGAGGCTGGTTCCTACAATGGGATCTTATTTAGTTGTGACTTAACTGCAATTGCTATTCTGCCAAAGGCGGATGAGTTTAATCTTGTGACTGGTCCCCAGTTATGGGAACTGAGGGTTCAGTTGATTGTATACTCTCAGAAAGAACAATTACATGGTTTGGGGATCCTCCTAGAATTGTCATTAGAGATCCAGGTAAGAGGTTCAGGGGCTGGGAGCACCTATGCCAACTTTAGTTTGTATGTCAACAATGTCCTTTCTTGGATAAGTACAGCTTAGTTATGGTTGTTCCTGGAATGGTAATCTCACATTTATCTTACTATAATGTGCAAAACATGGACCAAGTTTGTACTTGGTTTTGAAGCTTCCACTGGTAGAATTGCAGTGGCCAACTTGCTTGGAGGACTTTCTGGCCATATATTGTAGCCGTCACTTGGATAACAAGCCAGGGTCAAAGTTCTGATTATGATAAAGTATAAAGCTCTACATAACTCGGGGCAAGCTGTAAAGCTGATGGACCTTTGCCATTACTGACATAAGGCTCTTCCACACCATTCACTAAATGCTGTCAGGCAATGCTTCAGGAAATGGGTTTGCAAAATGTGAACGGATGTTGTTGCCTTTAGCTTATCTCCATCCTATCGTAAATGTTGCTTCTGCCTGTGCCTTTTTGCTTCTAAATGCTGCCTTTA